CTACCAGCACTGAACTGAACCAGGGTTTGTTTGGAAGTGGACTGAGACCCACAGTTTTGCCAGAACACAATTCAGCTGTCTGCTGCAGATTTGAGTACATGTGGAGTGTTCACACATTTCAAAACAGAACACCAAACAAGAAAGGTGTGAAAGCACCCTGAGAAACCTCCATCTCTGGCAAGCTAGTTGTCTGCATCACGCACCCACGGCTGCGTTGTTTCAATCTGATGAAGTTTAACCAGCTTGCTACTGCGATGTTTTTATTTGTACATCTCTATTGGTTATAATTTGAATCTTATGTTGTTAATAATTAAGTTAATCTTTTTTCCACTTTTGTTTTTATGACAGCCCACTATGAACTGCAGCCTCCCCCTGAGTAGAGGCCTGCTGACCACTAAAGGGTGCTACACAGCTCACAGGTTGAGAAACACTGCACTAGAATAGGAGACATTATCCCATAAACAACCTCAACAAATATTTCAATACACTACAATAGGAGATATCAGTCCATAAACAACCTCAGTAAATGCTCAAATACACTAGAATAAGAGATATTAGCCCACAAACCTCAATGAACATTCCTGTATACTGGAATAGAAGATTTGTCCATCAACAACCTCAATAAACATTCCCATACACCAGAATAGGAGATATCAGTCCATCATCAACTTCAATTAATTCTCCTACACACTAGAATAGGAGATATTAGCCCATACACAACCTCAACAACAACATGAGAACTACTTACCAAAGATAAGAACAGAAACCACCTGGGAAAGGAGGAGTAACAAACTAAACACAGGAGGAAACACTAAAGATAAGACAGGGCTATATGAGAGGAGATAGGAGAGGGCAGAGCCAGGAAGAGGACACTCTAACATCACTTTCAAACAGAGGTAAAAATAACCTATGAGCGATTTGTAAACCATAATCAAGTAATGGTTTATTTTTGTCTTACTAAATATTGTTAATATGTTAATTAATGATTAATAACTAAGTACTTCGTGAGTTTGTAATTAGTCCATTGTGAAGTGACTGAAGATGTTTTAGAAATGATTGTTATGATAAAGTGATACTAGAATTTTCTGAGACCAGTTCAAAGCAACAACCATTCAGGAACCTTTTTTAAGAGTGTGCTGATCTTGTGGTTTTAGGCTTGACTGAAACTGAATCTATATTTGGTTCCTGATACTTGTGTAAGGTTTACAGTTACGGACTGTAACTCACTGTTGTTGCACAGTTTATTAGCTCCCTTTTACTGTGTCTATCGAATGGACCACCACAGTACCACTACTGAGCAGATATTATTTGGGTGGTGGATCATTTTCTGTCCGCTAAATTTTGTATTTTTGAACATGAAGCTTGTAGAATCAGACATAACGACAGTAGTGATACCTTTGAGCTGTAGAGATTAGCGATATCTTCTTGTTGTACAGCTTGGGCTTCAGTGCAGGAACAGCTTCGGCAGAACGTTTCGCCTGTGTTGAATATAAAGAGTCATATTCTCTATGACTAGCAGTGGAAGACAACAGGAACATCTTTGAAATGGAAGAAAAGTTTGTGGTGAGAGAAGTGAAATTGCCTCATACCAACAAATTGGTTTACATACTCTTAAAAAAGATGGTTCTTTAAGGGTTCTTTAATAAAGACCTTGGTTCAATATAGAATCATAAACACTCAAAGGACCTTTTGCATGCTTAAAGAGTTCATTGCACGGTGAAATGGTTCTTCAGATTTATGGAGAATGTGGTGTGTATGATTCTGTAAAGAACCTTTCTTTTAAAAGGGTTCTACATAGGACCAAAAAGGGTTCTGCTATTGTTACAAAGTCAAGCTTGTAACAAATGAAGAACCCTTTTCAGTGCTTTAGAGAACCATGGTTCTTCAGATTGATGGAGAATGTGGTGTATATGATTCTATATAGAAACTTTTTTTAAAAGGGTTCTATGTAGCACCAAAAAGGGTTCTGCTATTGTTACATTGTTAAGCTTGTAACAACTGAAGAACCCTTTTCGGTGCTATATAGAACCATATACAACACATTTATCATCAATCTGAAGGACGATTTTACCATGCAAAGAACCCTTTAAGCATGCAAACAGTTCTTTGATTTTTTATGGTTTTATATAGAACCATTATCTTTCCAAAGAACCCTAGAAGAACCATCTTTGTTGGAAAAGGAGAAACACTGTCAACATAACAAGCCATTTTTATTTGTTCATACATCATGAAACATTCATGTAATGAAAAAGTGTAAATACATAAATAAATAAATAAACAAACAAACAAGCTTTAAAGAGTTGAAATGATGTTTGATATTGCAGCGGTTGTACAATTTTTAGCACTAATACATTTGGGCTCAATGGCCTTCTTTTTACCTATCATCCAAAAAAAAAAAAAAAAAACAAAACAAGCATCTACAGGAGAGGCCACAACCTTCTTTACTTTTAATGTAAGTTAATGTAAAGAGATTTTATTCCAAGCAGTTTTGGTGCATTCCCATTGGTTCTTTCCTCACAAAAATGTAAAGTGCAGCTGCTGTGTTCAAAGATGTAGAAAAACAAACATTGAAAAAATGGAGGCACTTTTTTTTTGTTTGTTTGTTTTTTTTACAGTGATGTCATGTAATGTACATATAACATTATATTACAACAACCTACTTTCCAAAGTGCTACACCATTTCTGCACCTGAAGCCTTATAGGAACATACTGACTGATATTAATGGTCAAGAATTATTCAAGCTAGGCCTTCATTCAACATTTTCTGCAGTGATTATACAATATTTAGCCAACTTAGGGTACCTGCTTCCTTCTGACATCATTCACTGCTTGACTTCCTCTTTGGTTTGATAGCAGCTCAGACTTTGGTTTTAATAATGCTTCTCCAACACACAGCAGCAAGTCGAGGGGCTTCCCAGAGCCACTTTTTGGGGCTGGTGCTGGAGTGCTCAGCTTCCACAAACAGGACATAGACTGCAGAATGCTGAATGTGAAAAATGTACTAAATCAGGCCTCAGATATTAGCAATTGAAGATGCCATTATACCTTCAAACAAGCACACGATGTTAGGAATAGTTGTGAATAGTACATAATTAAAAGAATGCGTAGCCCTAATTGGCAATGCTATCAATTTGGTGTCATTCGAGGCCTTTGATCCTTCTACAAAGAACCTGAAAGTAAGAATGTTAAAAAGCTGTTACTACAACAACAGATTGATGATGTAGCTTTAATTCTGCTCAGCATTATGACTTCACTCATCAGGTTCCATGAATTTGTTTCTACATTCATTGTGTATTACCTGGCCTGCGATGGACTGGCAACCTGTCCAGGGTGTGTTTGCCTTCCGCCCAATGACTGCTGGGATGGGCTTCCCCCCGAGGATGAGTGGCTGGGAGAATTTGTGTGTGTGTGTGTATTACCTAAAATGAAATTGACCAAATAACCTCTCCTAACTAACAGACCACTGTTAGATTAACCCACCTAGGTCCTCTATGGCATACATCAGCGATCTCCAACCCTTGTCCTGGAGAGCTACCTTCCTGCAGAGTTTAGTTCCAACCTGTATTCAACTGGCTGCCCTGCCCCTTACTTAACTCCAAGATCCAGCCAATCAGAGACTTGGGAAGAGGTTGATTAGCTGGAGCAGGATGGCAAATTGTGGTTGGAACTAGGCTCTGCAGGAAGGTAGTTCTCCAGGACCAGTGTTGGAATGGCATACGTGACTGGAAACGCCTCTTACATTTTATTTAAAGGGCCCATAACATGGAAAACAAATGTTCCTCACTAAGAAATCGAAGATGTAGTGTGTAAACAATGATAAAGTTTTAAACATTCTGCGCACTCCCCAGTGTATACAGTCCATACATGTAAACTAGGCTGCAAAAACAGGTTATATTGATTGTATTGTTTTTGTGGTGTCATAAAAACCAACTCATTTAAATACATCCACCTATTCAGCCTACAGGAGCTTAGCCCTGCCCATTCACGCTGAAGTTGTACAAAGTGTTTTAGCCTGGACTGCTTTTTGAATAAGGCACAGTACAGTACAGCCAATCAGAACAGAGCTCATTAACATATGTCAGTCTTGAAGGTCTAAAAACAGCCTGTATTTGGTACATAAATCCACATTATAAGTGGACCTTGGGACAAAATAAGGTGCAAAAGAAATAGATACAGGCCATTTGATTACTCTTACTCATCACTGACTGAAAAGCAAAGTGTCAAAGGTGCAGATTCTAAACTCCAATCACTACCACATTTATATTTATAAGCAGAGAAGATGAGGAAAAGCTATTGCTGTGTCTTGATTTGTGGAAAATAGAAAATATGCTTTATACATACATACATACATCATCTAAACCGCTTATCCTTCTGGGTCGCGGTGGGGTGCTGGAGCCTATCCCAGCTGTCATTGGGCGGAAGGCAGGATACACCCTGGACAGGTCGCCAGTCCATCGCAGGGCATATGCTTTATATTTTTGTCATTTTTTGATGTTGAGCCTGTCGATGCAGAATGTAAATCAAATGTACACATGTAATGTAGAATGTACATATGTAATGTAAAGCAAACTTAACGTGAGCCTACACACTGCAAAGGTTATCATCCCTAAACTCCTCTTTGAAGGCTGTGAATTCTTAGACCTTGCAGAGGTCTTCAGATAATTGACACCTCGTGAGGACCAGGAGCATAACAGTGCTCTAAACACACATATCACTCGCTCTGCAGGTAATAAGGAAAATAATTCAGACACTCGCTAGGTTTTATGCCTGACTATATACAAATGTACAGGGGCATCACAGCTAGGGGAATAATGGAGCTGTAGAGCAATGTAAAGCCTACACACTGCAAAGGTTATCATCTCTAAACTCCTCTTTGAAGGCTGTGAATTCTTAGACCTTGCAGAGGTCTTCAGATAATTCATGACCATGAAAGGAACCTTAGCAGACAGGAAGCTGAGCAAAAGTTTTACCCACAAGTGGAGGTTAGCTAGAAATTACTGTGTACACCCACAGTAAGTTCACTCACTTCTCTTCACAGCCTAGTCAGACTGTAAGGTGCTCCAAATGTAAGTAATCATTTTGTTCTTTATCCAATCATTTACTGCAGTTACGGCTACTTATGGATGTGCGTAATGTTTGAAATGGATTGAGGAACAGGCGTTTTTTTGAGAGGCAACACAGATCTAATAATATTCTACTTAATTTTAAACTTGAATTTCAGTTTTCATAACATTGGCTCTAGTAGTATGATAATGCTGAAAAATGCTCAGAAACATTCCATGCTTATGGTTATTTGTGATAATTAACAGAACTGTCTGTTGATTCCTCCATTACTACATCACTATCAATAAACAATGCACAGAAATATAGTCGTACGCAATTGTTTGAACACCCTCGGTCAAATGTTTCTTTGATTTTCAAAGTGAAAATAAGTGAACCCATCCTCTACAGGGAATAAACTTAAATATGGCAGTTTCTGCTCATATGAATTTAACATCTCTAGGGGAAAAAAAAACATCAAATATCAATTAAAATGTGTAGAAATATGTTCTCTGGAGCACGACTACTTATTTTCACATAGAAAGTCAACAAAATATGTAGCTTGACCAGAGTGCCCAAACTTTTGCATACAACTGTACTCCGTGGTCATAATGTACCACTTTACAATAAGACTACCCTCATAAAGGGTATAGTTTCAAATTATTTATCAAATAGTTATTAATTAGGTCATAAACACCTTAAAATCATTAATAAGAAGTTAAAAGTGCAACAATGAGGTGTTATATCTGATAAATTTGAATATCTGATAAAGCTGAGAGGTTCAATGTTGACCGATGGAAAAGAAATATGTAACTAGCAAGCAAGTAAGTAACAAGCAAGATCGGAGGGTTAACAGTATAGATAACTGTGGGCTCACTATTTGGCAAGCAACAGGTCAGTGTTGCCTCACTTTTTATGTGTTATATCTGCCTATTCATTTTTAGGTGTTTATGGCCTAATAAATAACCATTAATAAACAAATTTTGTACCATTCATAAATTATAAGGGTAGTCTTATTGTAAAGTTATTGTAAAGAATATGACTTGTCTTTAGCTAGCTCTAATTGTATCGCACAAAAATATTCCTTGGTCATTAAGATTTGTGATAAACGTAAGTCATCTTTAGCTTCATCATTCAGTATTGGCTGTGTCCAGGATGTAAATGATATTACAGTCTTTTTCAGAGTAGAGCTGGGCTCTGTTAACAATTCCTCTTTGCTTAAATTCATTCTGTAGATGGACAGCACAGGCCTTTCCTCAAACGCAACCTGTTCACTGGAACCCCCACATATCTCCATCGGCGTGCTCATCTGCCTGGTTCTCCTGCTTGGACTTCTCCTTAACATCTTCAGCCTGTGGGTCTTCATGCGTCGCATTCCGCAATGGAAGCCTGGAACCATTCTTCAGTTCCACCTGGCCATTAGCGATGTTATTGTTTGTCCACTAGCACCCTTTCTTATGGTTTACTTCGCTCAGAGCGAAGACTGGCCTTTCGGGAGCTTCATGTGCCGGTTCAAAATTGCCTTGTTGACAATTCACTTTTATGGTAGTATCCTCTTTCTTACTCTCATCAGCATCCACCGTTACATATCCGTGGTCTACCACAGTCAGGACTCCTGCATGAAACAAAAGGACTTTGTCAAGAAGCTTTGCGTAGGGGTTTGGCTTGTTGTGCTGATAAAAGGAGGAGTGTGCCTTTGTCTTTTGGATGTAAGCACAGTAAACAACCATACACTATGCCTTAGCATCCACCAGAGAGAGAACACTGAGGTGTATTTTGTCATGAACTTTTTTCTACTCATTCTTGGCTTCCTTGCTCCATTCACCGTATCACTGTTCTGCTACATCCGCCTGGCAAAGTCTGTGTCCAGCATCAATGCCTGCCACCAGAAGGGCAAGCTGATAAAGAGCAAATCTCGCAAAACGGTGGCTGTTTGCGTGGTCATATTCGGACTCTGCTTCTTGCCCATGAACGTGGTTCGCACTGTGGTTGTGGTGGTCAGAAAATACTTTGCCAACAACTGCAAACTTTTTTATCAAGTGGAAACTGCCTATTTTGCATCATGGATCCTGTCTTCAGCCAACTGCTGCCTCGACCCACTTATCTACTGTTTTTCCTCGCAAAACTTCACGAAAGCCATCTACAGCTCTCTGAGGAAAATTGGGGCTAGGATCCAAACACCTCGTGAGGACCAGGAGCATAACAGTGCTCTAAACACACATATCACTCGCTCTGCAGGTAATAAGGAAAATAATTCAGACACTCGCTAGGTTTTATGCCTGACTATATACAAATGTACAGGGGCATCACAGCTAGGGGAATAATGGAGCTGACTACGTAGCACCCCAAGGTGAAAGGGGCCCTCAAAGGGCCTGGACTAAAAATGTTGCTTTGGTATAAACTTTTATAGCCAAAGGTTGGTAGACACCTTCTTGTCCAATGTTTCTTCCAAAATCAACGGTGCAGTAGCAGCCTCTACTTCTCTGGGACAGCTTTACGCTAGATGTTGGAACATCTAGAGCATTAGTGAGGTACTGATGTTGGATGATTAGCTCTGGACCACAAATGTCACTCCAACTCATGCACTGCAAGGCATTGGAAGGAGCTCCATCACTCCAGAGAATGCAGTTCCACAATGCTGGGGTACTTTAAACCCCTTTGGTTGATGCTTGGCATTTTGACCTGAGGCTCTTGTGAAGCTGCTAAAAGTGTCCAATTCTATTGTTCATTGCTTTTCTATGGAGATTATACAAGCTGCATGTGTGCAATTGATTGCAGCTTAAAGTAGCTAAATTCATTAAAGGGAGTGTCTACAGTGCTTTGAACACACATATATGAATATACTATACTTAAATATAAATAGAAAACATAAAATATATATTTAACAAACAATTACATAGAAAACTCATCAACTAGATTTAATGTCAAACATAATAATATAATATGATTTGTCAGTATTTACTGTGTGTACTCATTGCCTACAGCTTTCAGACAAATCTGCAGGGATATTTTTCCACGCCACCAAAGTTCAGCCTTAGAAGTTGTTTGCATTTTCTGCTTCTCATGATCCAAGTAAATTCATACATTCAGTTTATTCACTGATGTAGAGATCTTGGCTCTGGGGTAGCATTGTTCTGAGAACACCAGTAGCTTCTTTGTTTCATCTGCAAGTGTTCTTTCCTTGTCTATTTACTTTTCTCAAGATCTTTATCTTCACTTATCTTTTACAGATGAAACATTGACGTACCGTTTATCTGATGTTGACAGTTTTGGTGGTCTGCCAGGTTTTGTATGTCTGTTCAGTTTCATTTTCTTTTACCTTTTAACCTTTCAACAAACAGTTTTGGAAAGTCCTGTTTTTTCACTTATTTTCTTTGATTTTGCTGTTCCTTATGCAAGTGGATCATGTCATATCTGCTCTCCTAAAAATATCTCCTGAAAAATGAATGACTTGTACCAAACGGCTGTTTTGACTGGACATAAATTAATGAAGGGTGATCTCCGACTATTCAAAACCACTCGGCTGTCTGATGTTAGCAACTGATTACTATGATCTGACTGACCAAGCTACCCATATGGTACCTCTAAAAATATTATCAAGTGTGTATGACCAAATGACAAAACTTAAAAAGGAAGTGCCTTTGCAGCGTCATAGTGTACACTGGTGAAGTGACACTCGCATCGTCTTGTTTCCTTGTAATGTATCACTTGTAAGAATGGGGACATGAAAAACAAAACATGATTAGTCCCAGACATTGCGGTAAGTGCGCTGCTTGTCTTACAGTGTGTGCCCTTCAGTAAATTTACTTGCAGTTTTGAGCACTCTAGCACTTTCAAAACATGACTTTTTTGTCTGGTAAACATTTTTTGGCACTGCTGCATACTTGAAGGTACCATTACATGCAGTTTTTTTGAATTACATTAAAATTTTTATTTGTTTTGGGTATCTCAGAGGACATTATTATTATTATGTTTGTGACCATTTTGTGGTCCTTTTATTGTCATTGTCACTGAAGATTCATCATTGTTTATTAGACTGACATTTCTGTTTTCAGTTTTGGACTTATTGTTGAAATCCATAGAAGAATAAAGTACTGCCCTGCCCCACATCAGCAACTTCTCCTTCCTCTTTTTTTCCTCCCCTCCGCTGGTGATTGGTGTTTAAATACGTTCACTTTCTCAGTCTCCTCTCAAAATGGACATCTCAGTTCCTACAACGGCTGTCACCTGGCAGAACAGCAGTAATGGCTCGGAGACAGACTGTCCTCCAGAAGCTCAGCATGTGTCCCTCACCGTGCTCCTCTGCCTGGTCTATTTGGTGGGGCTTTTTCTCAATGGCTTCAGCCTGTGGGTCTTCACTTGCAAGATAGGCAAATGGAGGACTGGCACTGTTCTGCAGTTCAACCTGGCCATTAGTGATGCCATCGCCTGTCCAGCCACACCGCTGATGGCTGCCTACTTTGCCAAAGGGAGCAACTGGGAGTTTGGAAATTTTGCATGCCATCTGAAAATAGCCCTGCTTAGCGCTCACTTCTACGGCAGCATCGCGTTCCTCACCCTGATCAGCATTCATCGCTATGTGATGGTGGTCCACATCAAACAAGCTTCACCAATGAAAAGGAAAGGCTTTGTGAAGAAACTATGTATTGGAGTGTGGTGTTTTTTGGCGGTGAAAGCCATCATCTATGGGGTTCTTCTGCCTGTTACAACCGATGAAGGCCACCAGCAATGCCTTTCCATACACCAGAAGAAACTTACGGACTCGTACTTCACCATCAACTTTGTGCTCTTCATTTTTGGCTTCCTCATACCTTTCACCATATCTGTGGTTTGCTACAGCCGCCTGGCCCACTCGCTGTCCCGCGTCAATGTGAATTCCCCTCAAGGCCAAGCAATCAAAATGAAGTCTCTGAGGATGATGGGAATATGCTTGGTCATCTTCGGACTGTGCTTCCTTCCTCTCAATATTGTGCGGACAGTTGGTGTAATTGTTAAGAAGTACTACCCCACGCGCTGTCCTCTTCTTCTACAACTGGAAACCGCATATTATGCAACCTTCATCTTGGGAGGAATCAACTGTTGCTTGGACCCCCTTATTTACTTCTTTGGCTCACATAATTTCAGCAAAGCATTGAGAAAATCTCTGAGAAAAACAAAGGTCAAAGAACAAGAAAGAGACAACAGAAGTGAATCAGACACAGTAAGCTACTCTGCAAAAAGAAGTGGTGTTTATACAGTATCTACATGAACCATTTATGCTTTTATTTGGTGTTTTTGGTTATTATATTATGGTGAATATACTTTAATGTGTTTCTGCAGAGATTATTAAGACATTTTTATCACTTCTCATGAACTTTTGATCTTTTTTTCTTGTCCTTCCATCCATGTTTTTAGGATTTTAAGGTGTTATTTAAAGACTTTTTACAGCATAGTTTTGTCATTTTGCTTTTAGCTCTTTCAAAAGTAAAGCTTTTTTGTAAAGATCACTGAATTAATGATATGTGCAGATGTGAGTGAGTATTTCTGAATATCATTAGTATGTTTCCTGTGGAATATCAACTTACATATGAAGCGTAAGTGTGAATATCAACAAGGAACAAGAGTGTTGATGTTCTGTAATATATGCAACAAAAACAGTGTGTTGCACACTCACTGCACATCCACAGAAAGATCAGATGGGCATATGAAAATAAAGAACTCTAATGTTCCCTTTAGTGTATCCGGCTTCTCTTTTAATGTCATGTATTATATGTATATGTAGTATGCTCTTAAAAGTAAAGGTTCCTAAATGCTCCTTGTTCTGTAGGGTTCTAGGACAAATGGTCCTCGATTCTACGTATGTTATAAGATATTCTAGGATGTTTAAAGATAATTGGTATATTAATCAACATGGATGTTCCTCAGGCTAAACATTCTTCAGACTGTTATGTTGGGAAAATAATGACTGATGAGGCTGAGGGATATAATGCTAGTTTTAGGCTCCTTTAACCTTAGGAATTTCTCTCTATTGTTCCCTTTAATTCATTGCTTTCAAGGGCAATTCCACCAATTTTTCAACATTTCTGCATTATTACAGGGTTAAGATGTAAACAAAGTCATTCAGAGCGGTTTGACGTGAAATGCTTCACCAGGAAACTTACCAAGTCAGAATATTTCACGATTCATGATACTTTTAAGAAAGGTTTTAGTCTGAATGTGTCTTTCAGACACATTAATGGTGGAGCAGTACACGTAGAGCATTCTTAAGCAAAATAGTCCCAGGAGAAAATGTATTAACTCAGATTTGCCATTTTTTTCTACTATCTACACTACTTATGGTGGTATCGTGGTGCAGTGGGTAGCACTGTCGCAAAAAAGGGCCTGGGTTTGATTCCCTGGCTGGGCAAACAAGGTTCTCTCTGTGTTTTTGCATGTTCTTCCTGTGTCTGCGTGGGTTTCCTCCGGATGCTCTAGTTTCCTCCCACAGTCCAAACATATGCAGTCAGGCCAATTGGAGATACTGAATTGCCCCTAGGTATAAATGTCTGTGTGTGTGCGTGTGAGAGAGAGTGAGTGAGTGAGTGAGTGAGTGAGTGAGTGACTGACTGACTGACTGTGTGTCTGCCCTGCGTTGGAGTGGGAACCTGTCCAGGGCATTGCCTGCCTTTGGCCTACTGAGGGCTGGGATAGGCACCAGCACCGCTTGTGACCCAGGAGGATAAGTGGTTTAGATGATGAATGAATAAATGGACATTACACATAAAAATTCAGAAGACATGTAGGTACATTTGTGGTTATGGAGAATAAATAAAATGGCTACATTTGTATTGTAGACACTGTGACCCCTGGTTCCTAACGCCATGACTGTAAAGAAATCTTAGTAGCCTATATAAGTTTCTCTACAATTAACCACTTTGCATCAAAAAAACCTACTGATTTTGTTTCTCAACAAATGAACTATGCAGAAAAGTTTAAAATTCGATGGAATTGCCCTTTAATAAATACGCTGATTGTGTCCATTGTCCTTTGCTTATTATTGTGAATTGGATATTAGAAAAGTGACATAGTTGTGTAAAAGCAAAAGGGCTGTCATTTTAAAATACTCAGTACAGTATAGAAATACAGGCAAATTTTACTTGAGTACAGCTCAGCTGTGTTTGGTGCTGGATTAGCGCACAGCTCCAGCCCCACCTGCCGCGCCAGGTGAGCGCCGTGATGTCATGATGACGGGCAGAAACTCAGGTGGGGAAAGTTTCCTCCTCGAGCCGAGACGTGCAGGTCAGCCGCCCGTTCGCGGTGGCTAGAAGCACAAATAAACAACAGAAGATGGGGAAACTTCAGGCGTTTGAGATCACTCTAAAAGACAACAAAGTGGTTTACAGTCCCGGCGAGTCCATCTCCGGCACTGTGAAAATCAATACTGCCCAGTCTATACAGTGCAAAGGTAGGAACGGTGTTTCCAACGGAATTAAATATGACGGAAAGTCTGTGGTAAACATCTTCCTGAATGTTTCTCACAGGTTAAAAGCAGGGGAAAAATGTGTTTTTCTTGTTTTAACCTGTAAAAACATTAGAGGTGTTTACCACAAACTTGAGGTCATATTTTATTGGTCATTAAGTATAGCTAATGGGTTAACGTTAATGTTTTATGCAGGACTGTTTTTAGTCTGTAACAACAGCATTCGGGAACAAGGTGTTTACCACAAACCTTGGTCACATTTTAGTTGGCCAAAAGGCCTGGTACATATGGCTATTAGTCCAGAAGCAAACACATCATGTGAATGTTTTTGTTGACACTGCTTCCATGAAGTGCGACTACTGGTCAGCTAGGTTAGCTAGTTAGCTAAATTAGCCAACGAAACTAGCTGCGGGGGCTGTGGTGGCCTGTCTTTACTGGAAGAAAGAAGCCGAAAGAGCAGCACTTAGAAAAAAGGAAGGCCTTCTACAAGTTCACACCTCTGTTTGTGTGAAATCCCTCTGTCATGCAGCTAAGTTATTAATATGTAATACAGTCGAAACCAACGTTATGAAAGGGTTAGCTTAGCTTATCAGCGTTCTCAAATATCCCTACAACACAGGAGGCTAAAGTTAGCGTCTTATTCGAGTAAGGCGAACCTTCAAGGCGCCTGAGTTTAACTGCTCCATTTAAGGTGGGACGGATAATTCCAATAAGAAGCCAACCTAAACCTCGTTAGACCATAGAGGAAAACAACAACAGACTTTCAGTGGCAATGGTGGCTGTGTCATACAGACCCAGTGTGAAATGCTTATTTCTGACATTCTTCCATGATGTAGCCTATGAGGAAATATTTTGTTCTCATATAAGTGGTTATCAATTCCTATACATAGTCTTTTTTATGAGGGTCTAACTTACAAAAAGCTTGGCCTGCATCTTGTAAATCTGCTGTTCAGCATTTGCTCTGCTGTTATTTTTTTTTCCAAATGGCTCATGTGTATTCAGCCCTCAAGCAACTCAGAAACCGGTCTGGACGGTTAATGATTCACAGTTTACCTTAAAATAATCTGCTAATCGGCACCTGATAATCTACTTTTAAAACCTGGCAGATCGTCCCAGAATATACCTTTTTGGTGGTAGCAAAGAATCCACCCTAGGATACTGACTCTTATCCTTTGTGTTTAAATGGTCTGTTTGATGGAAAATCAAAATTTCCTCACTTTTTTGAAGTAAAGAGTTTGTTTTAGTATAGAAATTCTCCATTTCCTGTCCTGTCCATACGGTCTGGAAACTAAGCTGCAAAAAAGCCAGTTTTTAATAAAATGCCTTTGTGTTGTCACACAAAAACATACTTTTGCATATATTTGCCTGTTCATCACAATACAGGGCAGCCAGCCATGTTAACTAGCTACTTATGTCAGTCTTAAAGGTAAACAAATAAAGAGAGGTTGGAAATGGTCACGTATAAATGAATTAAAACTATTTTTACATAAACCCACGTAACCTATGTAAAATAATAAAATACAATAGAACTGAACAATTTGGGGAACATATCTAATTTTTCTGATCAATATTGGGATTTAAATTGTGATTATTTATGTAAGTTAAAGTCCAGCCCTTTTTAGATCCAGTATTGTAAGGTACATTTGCTGGCTTGAGGCTTGAACGCTGTGCCAGGCTGGCAGTTAGTTGTGGTTGTGGTTCGGACTGGTCTAACTCGTCTGCAGACAGTTCACAAACTCAGTGGACCTCATTCAATCATTCTTATGAAGGCCTTTTTTCTTAAAACCCACCTACTCAGTTTTCTAACATCCACAAATATTTTCTTATTTGGGATTTGTTCTTAGGTAACAACAGAGTCTACACACACTCAAGAGCACAAAGGTGCAAACAGTTCTGCGGTTTAAGAACACGTCATGAATCTGACATAGACCTTTTCTTAGGACCTTCCTCAAGAAAGAATGTAAGAAAAAGCTTAGGAGGATATTGGTGAATGAAGCCCAATGTTATTAGGTTAAATCTCCTCTCTCAAAACTCATTGAGGCTATGTTGTTGATAATGTAGGCTATGCTTAGAATTGCAGCACTTGAAAATTGCACTCTTTCAAATTTGATTTTGCTATAAAAAAATTTTTCAGCCCTAAAATACTACAGTAATGTAAGTTAGCCCTTTAAATCATCTTAGGACACTATTTAGAGTTTTTGTTGTCTGTTCTGTATGGCTATATGAGGCCATTGTTCATGGAGATGTTGTTTCTAGCGTTATTGTTATTCTTGAATGCTGTGTAAACCAGATCATGTGGTCCTGGATAGGCAGGTGGCAAGATACGCTATTGTGTTCAGCTTTTTAAAAAGAGTTACCTTATCAGTTGTACAGTAAAAAGGTAGCTCCGGTAAGATTACGACTATTTGGATTGTTCTGCTGTTAAAGTTATAGAAAAGTTAAGGAGGTTAATACCTATGACCTATAGATGGATAGACGTCATCATTGAAAAGAGCAGGCAAAAGGCGGCCACTAATCGTTAGCCATATTCAACAATAAATATATGACTAAATCTGATAGTTATAGTTGGTAATATAAAACAGAGCTTTTAAATGACATTTCATGATGACTGGCCCAGTTTCATACTTTTGGACTATTTATTGCTCTATTATTCAGTAAATATTTTACAACATCTTATGTCTCCAATGTGGTTACTTTATAAGAGAAAAAAAAAACATTTATAACTTGTAATATAACAACATTTTTATCCAAGTGATTTTGGACTGTTTTTATTAGTTTGTCATGAAAAGTTAACACAATTTAAAAGGCATTTTGCATTTTCAAATAGTGTAAAAATTTAATAGTAATAAAAACCTTTAAAAAATGGGTAAGGTTTTGCTACGACAGATCCACAGTTGTAAAATCTATATAATTATTTATTATATTGAAATGTGTATGATCTGTTTAGTGACAATGGATCTCAGTGGCCTTCCTTGTATTTTAATCTGCCATTATTGTTCAAAGCTCCAAGATTGGCTAGACCTGTAACAAAGATACAGCTGTTGTACCACCTGTGCACAATAAGGCATGAGAAGCCCCCCAGCTGGCCTTCTGCAGTCTCAGGGCCGACAATACTGCCATTGTTGCACCCGACGCTTATAGCTTTAAAACTAATGTGAAAAAGTGATGGAAGCCTATGTCAACGAAAATTTTAAAGGCATTTTAAAGGGATGGTTCCCTGAAAAAAATCAAATGTACACAGTTTTACCCATTACCACAGTTATATTACATCAGCCAAGACATGTCTGATGTCTAAACTTTGCTTCTTTAGTTTTTCTTTGGAGCTACGAGGCGAATGTAAAATTTTAAAATTCAAGGAAGGATTTTGGGTGACACTGTGTACATTTTAAATTTGGGTGAACCATTCCTTTAATAATGCAGAAAGTATGATTGCGAAATGCGTTTGGCTTTCACTTGAGGTCTGACTGGTGTCTGTACAAGTTCATGTTAGACAATTAAACTCTTCTAGTTGGAGATGATGGGCTGTAGATGTTATATGGAGTGCAAATGTTGGAAACTTGACTCTGTGTAAACATTTAGCTCTTCTGTGACAGCCCTGTATTGTTGTGGGGAACAGCAATATGAAGTGAACAGAAAAGAAAGCCTGCTCTCACTCTGTTAGGGCGTTACTGACGGTCAGGTCTGTGAAGAACTGGTTGGTTAGCATTCCTGGCGAGGCAAAATAGGCAAGAATGAAATGGAATAGTCAACAAGGTCATTGTTCAGTCTGTGTAGTAAAATGCTGATAATTCATGTGGCTGAGTATTTAGTAGGACTTTGTAGTTCTGTAATGTCAAAGCTTTAAAGTTTCAGTGCTTCTGCTTTTGGTATAGGAAGTTATTCTGGAAAAAAGGACGGTGTAAAAGAGGTCAGAAGAAATAAGAGATCATATCCTCTTCAAAGAAAAAAGACTATTTTTAGGACCATAAAGATTTTTTGTACTTTGACTTTATTTTCGTGATAATTAAACACACATTCCTACCATCTCCCATTGCACATGTTCTTTTTATTGGCTTTTAAAAATAAAATGCAGAATTCACAGATTCTTTTGTGTTGTTTTTTTTTAAGTTTTCTTTCTTGTTTTCTTTCTTTCTTTCTTCACATTAAAATAAGCCAATAAATTGGTTGATCACTGCTAGTTTTAGGTTTAGACTTCACCATATGTATGAGAATTGTTTTGAGTGAAGACCTTATCAAGCATTAGAAATACGCTGTATAAAAAATGGGAGAATTCAAAATGTCAGGGTGACATGATGCATTAAGATTTGAGTTTTCTTAACAGCTTTTTTGCTTTTGTCGTCATCTTTACTAAGGTTGGTTGTTCAGCCAATGTTAGGCTGACAGTAAAATATTACATTTGAGGGCATGTTTAGTCTATTTTACAGTTATGGCCTTTGGAAGACACTCTTATCCAGAAGAATTTCCAGCCCAATCATCTTACAGAGGCAGACTTATGTAGCATTAGGAAGCTTTCCCAAGGATGCTTGTTTATACAGCACAATGTGGTTGCCTGGGTGGGGAATCAAAGCATGGGTATGGTCCACCCAGCTGGGAAGTCTGATGAATGGCATGCCCACAAGCAGTTTCTAAAACTTATCTAATTTTACCTAATTATTTAATGCTTGTTGAGACAGGGTGCATGTTCAATGGAAATTATAATGGTTACATCACCCTCCATGTTCTTCATAATGTTGGTGTGATGGGAAACACTGCTGCCCTCCATCCAACAGACTGAGGTTTGGTTCCCCACTTGATAAAGAACCAAGAGTCCTTGGGCAAGACTGCATCGTGTTGACTTGATATTTTGGGTTCTTGCAACTGTTTTTTTTTTTTGTTTTGTTTTTTTTTGTGCAGAGTGAAGAACAAAATAAAATCAAGTGCTTCTTTTTTCCATTGAGACGCATATCTGTTGCCTGTGATCAACTTCCGTACTAAACAATGAAATTTCAGTTATGATTTCAGTCAGGCAAGTAGTGATTTCCGTTTATATATACCACAAATACCATCACGGTGTGTTAAGATCTATAAACGCTTACTTCTTCTTTGTCTTGCAGTATTTTTACTACCATCAGTTTATAACATTAGCATACAGTTTCTTGGTGTTACTAGGGCAGGCCGTTCTTTTTTTATTGTAACAGACAACTCGATGTAGGGAGAAAAAAAAGAATTTGTTGTGTTTAATATTCACTTGCCTGGCTTAATAGAAACAAAAATAACAAGCATTGGTAAAATGCAGCTATCATGTTACAACACAAACATACATATTTCTATGAAGAGAACAGATGACGGCTAAGAACAGTAAGAGCTCATTAAGACAAACTAACAAACCTGCTAAAAATTCTGGAAAGCCCCACCCCATGTTTTAATAGTTTTTGTTAAAGTTTTTGGGTTTCTCTGTGATTCGACAGTTGACAACTGAGAGTCATATCAGACAGTAATGTATTATCTAACTAAACCTACTGGAGTTAATTTTTGACTCTATTAAATTACAGTGGTCAGTATTAGTTAATTCAGTTCATACTAGTTAATTGGTTTCTGATTTTTGTAGCTCTTGTAAAAACAATATCAGTATCAGACTCAATGTAATAGATGATGAGCAAGAGTGCTATCTATAACAGGAATCTATAAGCTGATGAAGTCATTTTGTAAAGATTTCATTAAATGTCATATTGTATATAGTATATACATGCCTACCCTCTATAAATGTCATATGATCATCCCTCATGTTCTCATGAAACAGTTTTCTGGTTAATCTACACCAGCCATCAAGGTTTTGTGGTATACTGACTCATTCTGAACCTGTTGAAACGAACCAGTCGAGAAAACGATCTTTGAAACAGATTTTTTTCACTTGGCCACAGCTAATGAAGTGATGGAGCAGTAAAGCTGATGCAGACTTCACATCTTTGTACTGTGAAATGGCTAGTCATGTGTCAGTTCTAGTGATCAGTAACACTTTATTGAAGGCCAGGATTCATAAGGCTACACGACACCTTCACAAGCCTCTTATGACCACTGACATGAACATACATAAACTTTTTTTCATACATAAGGCTTTTATCAACGACTGTTGTCAGAAAGGCTGGTTTTGTCCATTTTGATGTAATTTCACCTCAGCCAGTCTTTTGACTGCTGTCACTTGTTGGAATAAGCCTTTGTAAACATATTTATGGGTTTTTGTTAGTTATAGGTTTATATCAGTATCAGTCTATATACGTTCTATCATGAAAGTTAATATAGGTGCCATGTAGCTTTATGTACACTGTTTTCAGTACCATTTGATCATTCTGTCAGCTGTCATTATGCACATAGGTAACTTGCCATCTCCTTTTTCTATCATTTGCTTTGTTCTGACTTGCAGAAATCAAGGTGAACTGCCAGGGTTACTGTGGCGTGACCAACAAAGTGAACGACACAGCCTGGGTAGAGGAAGAGCAGTACTTCAGCAGCTCTCTATCAGTGGCAGATAAAGGTACTCACAATGGAACATTCATTTCCATGCTATCTCCTCCCTGCTATTGTCCACAAAAGGTACAAAAGGTACAATTATTATACAACATGTACCACTGTGTCTTGATGTTACCTACATAGACTCTGGCGGTGCCAGAGTGTTGAGTAGATTAGTTAAGAAAAGGAATTCAGTGCTAATTACAAATTGAATGACTAAAAATGTAACCAGTGAAAGTCTTTTAGATTGATTAGTTAGTTCATGTGTAATCTAATCTGATTACTTTTGGCTTACTTTTGATTTACTTTAGAGCTTTTTTCACTGTGCGTATCTGGTGGCCCCACTGCATTATTGTTTTTTTTTAAATCAATACAGCCATAACAATTTATGTAAAAATACCAGATGTTTAAAATATCACAAGTGTCCAGCGTAGGGTTCTCCTTCAGCAGCTGTAGCCAGTCAGCAGCCTGTCCATGTTGTCCACCCTCACACACATGCACACATACACAAACACAAACACATACACACCCGAGACACACACACACTAACAGCAGGCCATGTAGGAGGAGAACAGAGTGAAGGGACACAGCGCCTCCACACTTTTATTCCCCACAGGTTCACCCCAACATATTACATGTGTAATATAAGTGTTTAGGGGGTGAACAATGTCACTGAAGTCACTGAAAATGTGCTATTTTATATGTTCTTCACAGAAAATGAGCAAAGGCCAAAAAAATCTGAGGTTGAAATAATAATAAATCACATCATTTTTTCTTTTGGTAAACATTGAAAATGGTGCCACAGACCCGAACACCACACAGAGGTTGAAGTGGTTTCTGTTAGGACTGTCAAAGTTAATAATGCATAAACATGACAAATTATTAATGCCACAATTTTGTTTTGTACTATGATCCTTTAAACCTTGATAGTAGTCCAGGCCGAAGCCTAACTGCTTTAGTTCTAAACTATCTGTTGCTATGATTGATTCAGTGATTTTAGCCTGTTCAAATACAGCTTTAGGCTTTTCATAGCGATATCCTTAGCACCGTCAGCAGATTATGCTAAACAGTGCTCGCAGGAGACCTATGGATAAATCAGTGAACAGCAAGCTAACAAAAGCAATAGCAAAGTCGATAGCTACAGTTCCCCTCGAGAGCCTCCACTGTAACAAGAATCTGAGCTGTATAAACAAGAGCAAAAGGCAATCATTGATGTGCTGCAACCATTGATTGTATATGCGATTATATATATGATATATAAACTCGCATTTTGGAACACGCAGCCACTTTTGCTCTCACTGAACGTCAGTGATAACAGTTGGAAGCCAATTGTTTCTATACACCCAAATTGTGTTCCTCCCTCTGTTTGTTCAAGTTTGAACCATATGAAAAGGTGATGTCAATAACCCCTGCCCCTTTTCTTCTTCTCCCAAAAACCATGCTACTATTGTTATCAGTCACAATGACACAGCTTTTATGCAAATTATGGGTGCATTCAGTAAATTAAATTAAGACACTACCTTACCTCACATTACCTGAAATGTAAAACATCAATATGAATTGCAAATCATAACCAATTTCTTTCCTTACCGTCACATATTTCCAAGTAAAACACAGTATTACTGTGAGTCTCAAAGCTAGCTGATCATTTTGCTCAGTGATAGGACGAGTGGTGGGAGTGGGAGGTGAAACATTCTTAATATGTCCAGGGACATGAACTAGGTAAAAAAGGTCGTTTTGACTTGAGGTTGACTTAACTCATATTTTCAAAGTTATGCTGGTCTGATTTCAAGTATTTGATTTTTGTAATCAGAGGTCATAATCCAGATTACTTGCTGTCACTTACTACCCAGCATTGTAGGTTAGTATATAGATTTTTGCTGAATATCGATGTAGATTTTGGACGCTTTTATCTGGCTCAACAAAAGGAAAAAAGAAAAGAGCATTCATGTTATTAAATCAGCTTTTGTGCTTTACTGAGGTCAGATCACTGAGTAAATCAGTGATATGACATGACTGGCCTTCTTTTATGTGATTTTAATAATTCAGTTTGAGGTATTAGTTGAACTATTTAAATTTTCCTCACTTTAGCTGTTTGTAATCTGCATGGTTGGCTGTAAGTGAGAAAAGCATACTGATCTAATGCTGTCTGGATTTCCTGCAAACTTGTGTTTATCGTTAATGAATACAGGAAGTATTAATCATAGCTGTTATAATTCTCAAGAACTATGTAAGAATACTCAAGAACTAATGTTTAAAGAGCAAAGAGCATCTTGATTTCTGTGGAAGGCAGTGAGTTTTACACACAGTTATGTGGTTTATTTATGCCGTGCATAATATGGTACTGTGGGTCTTCACTTTTTAGGCACTCTGAAACAAGGCGAGCACACTTTTCCCTTCAAATTTCTCATACCAGGTAAGATTGCAAAGTGATGACATCACACAGGCATACCTGATTCCCTGCGTTCTTCTACACTCGCTCACGCCGATACATATGAGTCAGTCACTGTGTTTGTTTGTTTATTGTGGGAACAAAGCACTCGAACACCACATATTGTAGTGGTTCCTTTTTCTGTGTGATCTGGTTAAGGTTGTGGTAGAGTTCATTCGAGGCCTCAGTTAGAAAAGACATGGGTACAAAACTAAGGCCTTTGCTGCAAACCTTAGTTAGCTAATTCTGCTACTTAAAGCTGTATTATTTAAGATGTTTTCATTAAAATTTAAAAAATTAGCTTTAGTCAGGAGGGACAAAACACTTGTTAAAATATGGTGTACATGCGCTGCTGAGAGTCACCTTGCAAATCCTATAATAAATAAAAAGTCAGAGGTGTCAGGTTGGATTGGAGTTTTTCGGACAACATTGTACGTCTTTACGTAATAATGTTATATGCATAGACACAAAAAGAAAGTCTGGCTCAATCTTTATGGCTTCAAAAGCAAAATCAACATTATACTGATGAAGATTTGATGACAGTAGTAGATAATTCATTTATATCCCCGGAAGACATGTCCTGCATCAAGTTCTCTTTCATTACTTTTTTTAATGCACTCTCAATCATCAGATTCATCCGCTTGTGGAAGATGTTCGAGGCACAGCCAACATTACAAAATGTTCTTCTGCACGCTGCATGCGATTACAAATTACCACCAGAGAGGTCTCCAAATCCCCAGATTTTACATAATGTAGATTAAAAGCTAAAACTGATGTCTCTATTTTATGCTCTTACACCATATAAATATAAACACCATATAATAAACTGTAAACAGGGAGAAGCAAGCTTGCTAGATGGGGAATAGATTTAAGTAACAGAACACGAGAGGGACTATTATCAGAAATGACATCACAGCTGTGGTGTTGGTTGCATTCACAACCCAAAGATGTGATTTTGTTTGTGATAATATACAACCTTGAATATTCTATTGCTTTTATACAACAGTTCTGCAAAATGAAGAAAAAATTAAAGCACCGTGGTCCCAAACATTGTATCAAATGTGCTTTAATGTTGGCAATTTTTCCACCAAAAAATACTAACCTTTGGTGTTTTGGATAGAGCCATTAACCCCTTACATGGCCAGGGCCCGCTGGATTGCCTAAAGTGTTATTACATACTTCTGTAACCTAAGAATAGCTCAACCAGTTTGCATTGAAGTCCTTCTAGTTAGTCAATAAAAGCCTTAGTATGTAATAAGACTGGGAGTTAAACTGACACAATATCAGGTTCCGCTCAGCTTTTTCAGTATTTGCCAGATTAACCTCAATGTTGTTTTGTTCCAGTCAGTCTGTAAAACATTTTACAGTCCATCTTGTTAAACATGGTAATGGTCCAAGTTTCACTTCCAGGAGGGATTGAAATGTCTTAGTTCTCTTGGAGCTGAGGCACATAAAAAAAAAAATATATATATATATATATTTTTTTTTTTAAATAAAGGAGTTTGATAGAGCATGTAAACATTGTCAAAATTTCAACACCATACTGTTCCAAACTAAGCTATCCGTCTATACAGCTTACAGCTGTATTGATGTTGAAGTTATACGTAATGTTTCATCCCAGACTACTTTTTGAATAAGGCACAATACAGGGCAGCCAATCAGAGGTAAATTACATATATCAGTCTTAAAGGCACAGTAACAGAAGCATTCTAATGGATAAAGAGAGATTGGAAAATAGTCATACAGAAATGAAAATATTTTGGGGCATAAACCCACGTGAATGTCAAAAGTGGACCTAATAAAAAAAAATGCAGTCAGGACATCTAGCCCATAATGTTAGTGTGATAGGATATTGAAAAGGATGGCATTTAACCTTAGAGCAGTTTGAAAGACGTTTGTTTACAAATGTTGGCATACATTGGCCAAAGTTTTATAGTAAAGTTTTATTATAACTGAAAAGTCTTAAGCGGAATAAACATTCAACCTTTAACCTGTTTTAACAGAGATTAAGAGAATGAACACAGTGGCCTACTTTAGCCTTTGCAGTCATCTTTCTTAGCAACAAGATACACAAACAGAAACTGGCCCAGTCAGGAACAGCTGCGGTGTCGCTCTGAGGCACCTGAAACTTCCCCTAGCTGTTCCTCTTTTTGGCTGTTCCTCCTCAATGACTAGGGGGAAGATGTACAAGAAAAAAACATCCTATAACAGAAACACATGCCTGAGCATGCTGAAGCAGTTCCTAATTTCTAATGGCATTTACTACATTTCTCTTTATTGCTGAAGCAGACACTGCTATAGTACCTGCCCCCTTAGAACAGTGCCATTTTGAAAAAAACAGTATGGCCTTTTGATTATTTTGTTGGAAAATCATACATTTTTTCATGTTTGAAATCAGTTTATTAAGTGAAGAAATATGTTTTTTGAAGATTTGTAATTGTTTCTCTGTTTTCCAGCCACAGCTCCAACATCATATGAAGGCCCCTATGGAAGGATTATGTACAGAATTAGAGCCTTTATCGACACTCCCCGCTTTGCAAAGGACTACCGGACAGAGAAGCCCTTCTATATGCTGAACAACATTAACCTCAATGAAGTTCCTGACATAAATGTCAGTTTACTGAAGTCAAATCAGTAATGCTTGTCTACTAATACATAGAGCTGTCACTGGTGATTATATTAGTCATCGAGTATTCTAACGATTATGTTGTTGATGAATTGAGTAACAAATGGAGGAAAAAAAATAACTGAAGCTGTAACTGAACAATAATAAACCATGCATAGCTGCTAAAATCTTTCAGATTTTTATTGTAAAAGAGACCAGTATTTTTATGAATTTCTTTTTTTAATCAAGTTTATCTGAGTAACTGGGACAGCCCTCTTAAAGTGATGATCAAAATATGGACAGTGTGCCTTGTCTTTCACAGGAGCCAAGCTCATCATCTGTAACTAAGAATTTCTCGTACAGTCTGGTGAAGAATGGGACAGTTGTGCTGACAGCTAACAGTGACCTGCGAGGCTACGCTCCAGGTCAGGTCATCAAAGTGTCCGCTGAGATTGACAACCGATCAGGGAAGTCCACAGGCCATGTGGTGGCAAGTCTGATGCAGGTAACAATATAAGAATTTTACCTTTTGAAACAGGCAGTGTGGCTACAGAAAAGAGCTAAGACTATTTAAGTCTAAGTCAGGATGTACAATGATGTCAGAATCATGCCATTTTGGTATTGGACAAATGTTTAGATTTGACCAATATTTCAAATTAAACAGTGAAAGGCACTGAGCTGCTACTTAGTGCGCTTAACCATTTAAAAATAAATTTTATATTTGTCCATAACACTAAGCCGGGTAGATGTATTCTCAATTTCTGCATTTTATAAGTGTTTATATGTCAGCATTGGAATCGGCATCAGCAGATATAAAAATAAATATCAGATATCAGTAATGGCCCAAAATTCCCATGTTAGTGCATCTCTGCTAATCTGTGTAATTATACATTTCTCTATGTGTTTTATCAGAAAGTTACATATAATACAAAGAGACCAACGCACGACTTGAGGGCGATAGCAGAAGTGGAGGGGGCTGGAGTGAAGGGAGGAAAGCAGGCTGAGTGGAAAGAGCAGATCATTGTGCCTCCTCTGCCCCAGTCTTCTCTGGCTGGCTGTAATCTCATCAAGATTAACTATTTTATTCAGGTGAGTGTTATACCATTGCTGGCTGGAGTTACTCATTCATGCACTCTTCTGATTAAAGGAAATATCTTCCCCACTATTTACACTGTTTAATATTTTTCCTAATATTACCTCCACCCTCTGTATTGTATACTCTATGGTTTTCCCCTCTATCTGTTTATTGTTTATTACTGTTAAACTCCTTGAAGTCAGAAGTTATTACTGCTGTTTTGCTAAAATATTTAAATGTGTTTACTGGGGATACATTTTAACTCCAAGCATGCAATTGGTAATCGGCGAATTATTTTTATTTTGGCCGATTTATGTTGCAGTTTTATTCCACGAAGAATGAAGCATGTAAGTGCACTTGTGCTGTATTTGAACGCTAATGCTACGTCTGCATTAAAATATCGTAGCATAATTGTGCATGACTTATTGTGCAATACACACATTGTGCTAAATTGTGCCTTTTACTTGCAAGATAGCACTTTATTTGATTTGATTATTTGATTAATAAATGTTATTTAAATAGGCAGCTGATTTTTCATTGGCTTTAAAAGGCCAGTTTGGCTCATTTAAAGAGCAAATACTATTTATATTGCAACTTTGGCTAATAGAAAGTCCTGGATTTTAAAAAAGGATAAAAACGACATTTTTCTGTAAAGAAACTGAAATAAGAATCGTAAAAATTCACACCATTCGCACCAAACCCTTACTTACATGAATAATTGCATAGTTATATATTGAACTACATTTGCATTCAATGTACATTCTAGATCAACAGTCCCGAGTCTGTAAACTACATTTTGTTTCTATGATAACGAATGACAATAACATTCTTATACTCACAGACAAATCTATCATTTAAAGGTTTGGAATCCACACATAATAAAGAATTACTCTAAGCTATAAGCCAATAATACTTAACATCAAACTATGTTTTTGTGATTGTCCTTGAAAACGGTGACTTCTAAAACTTAAATGTAGTCCATGTCACATGCAATACTATAACCCAGATATGACAATGTATTGCAGTTTGTTGTATGAGAATAAGGTCAGCTGAAGTAAGTCCCTCGCTATCCACTACCTTCACTCTTGTAAGAGCTGAGGCAAATTAGGTGTGACATTTCCTGTTTCTTATAAACTAATCGTACCTCTTCCTTTTCCCATCAATGAACATGAGCTCACCGACACCACTGTAGAAAAACACAGCCCCAGACTTTGACGTTTCTGCCTCTGTACTTTACTGTATTCATAGTGCAGCCTGAGTGGAATTCTTCTCCAGGGTTTCTCCACAGAAAGAATCCGTCATCTGTGTAATGCTAAAAGTGTTTTTCTCAAACACATCGTTTTGTTAAATATTTTATGACATAACCTAAAGACCTTCATTAAAGTTTACTCATAACTAAATGGCTAATGTGCCCAGTACTTTTTGGGCCACTGTATATCACTGTCTTGTCCCTCTGTTTTTCTTTTTTTAATCACTAATTAACCATCTCTCATTTGTCAGGTTTCTCTGAAGTACCCGGAAGTGTTACTGACTCTGCCCATCCACATTGGAAATGTTGCAATCGATCCTAGCCTCCACACTCCATCCAGGCCGGCGGCCCCTCTCCCAAGACCACGCGCAACCCCTTCTTCTACTTCTACCACTCCTACAACCACAGCTTCATCTCGCTCTGCTTCCACCACCACTCCTCCTCAGACAGCCCCCAGACCTGCCCCCCGCCCACGGCCCCGCAGCACTTGCATCGCCCCGAGCGCCCCTCCGCCAGAGCCAGATATGCTGGATGCGGGCTCTCGCCACAGTGAGGAGATCCCCACCAAGATCCACTCTCAGCAGCAGGCCAGCGGCTCTGAGGCTGCCATTTCTCCCAACGCCTTTAGCTACGCTCCAGGCCTCACCTTCCCACAGAATCAGCGCAGCAACAGCAGCAATGTTTCAGCACCCCAATTCTGCATCTCCACGGGGGCCACCATCCCTTTCTTCACGGAGGGAAATGCCCCACCCGTCCCAACCAACTGCCCCCTCGTCCTGCCTCCAGACTACAGGAGTTCATCATACCCACACGGTAAGGCCCTGTGACCTATTCACTTTTCTTTTGTGTATCATTGCTGTCAAAGCAAAACCTTGAATCTTCATTTTTGTTGTTTTGCATTCACAAGTTTTTTTCATCCAGAGGTGACGCTATACTAAATGTATACTAAATGTATGCAGCTGTTGCTGAATTTTCATAGTTCTGAACTTTCTTGGGCTTTAAAGCTGCTGCTGCATTCCCTCTCTACCCATTCAGGTGCTCTCACACACACACACACACACACACACACACACACTTACATTGATGCATGCATGCATGCATGCATGCACATTTTGTCATGATGCGTATACTCTGACTGGCTATTTAACAATGTAAACCTACCTTGGATCTACATTTGTTGTTTGTTTTATCAGGTAAATGTACCATAAGTGTGCATTTCTTCAAATTGCAGTTATAAATTGTAGTCCATCTGTTTGTCTGCATAACTTGCCTTCTTCTACCCTGTTCTTTAATGGTCAGGACACCACAGGACATCACAGAACAAGTATTATTTGGGTAGTGGATCATTATTAGCACTGCATCTACACTGACATAGTAGTGACATGTTAGTGGGTTCCTGAAGTTTTTTTTTAACAGCTCTGTGTCAGTACTGGACTGAGAATAGTCCACCAACCAAAAAAATCTAGCCAGCAGCATCCTGTGAAACGGATGAACTACAATCTGTAATTGTAGTACTACGAAGTGGATATGATAAAATGGCAGTGAATAAAGGTACAAGGTAGGTGTACCTAATAAAGTTGGTGAATAAAATATTAAGCCTTATAAAATCAAACCCTGCCTAACATATAAACATGTTGTTATGTACATTTTGAATGACGACTGACTCGTCACAGATGTATGTGTGGTGTGCTTGACATTACATCCATACGTTTTTTTATTTATTTTAATTTCTTCTTCCTGCAGTGGCTTTGATTAAACTGATTTTTCATGTTTGTACCCATTTCAGTGAGGCTCTCTTGCTCAAGAGTTTTTACGTGGAGTTCAGGGTGATAGACTTGCATATTTACTCGGTCAGCTAATAAACTTAAATTAAACGATGTGTAAATTTGAGTTTTAAGGAATACCTAATTTCTCAATCTGCATACGTAGCATACAGTTGATTTACTGTAGGTAGTAATTTCTGTGCATTTCTCTGAACTTAAAAATTTCTATTCTCGTGTTCTGAGTGAACTATTTTTCTGTTCTTTTCTAAGAACAGGGAAACTGTACGCTGTTTCTAAATCTGCAAATGCTGTTCTCATTGCTGAGTAGCACACCCTAGTGGTATAAGTGGTAATTACTGGATATTTTACAGTTAGGTGTGCATGCTCTTAGTCACCTTTGTTCATTTTAATGTTAATAACCAAATGTTTTGCCTTTTTCTTTTCCAGAGCCTCCACCATCTTATGAAGACAGCTGCACCAACACCTAAAGGATTTATGCAGTCTGTATTAAAGAATAACACCTCATCACTCATTTTAGGACTCACAGTTCTTGCTCTTTCGGGACAACGGGACCATGTTCACACTGGAAGTGATTAGAGCAATAAGACTGAAGTGAAGGTTTTTTTTTTTTTCTTCCTGCAAGCATGGAGTGGCATCTGTGATGCCACTAATTTAAATGTATGATTGTTTATTAGTTTTTAATTGGAAGTCATTGTGTTTTGTGACATTTGGACAGCCCAAGAGAAAAAGTTATCAGTTTTAAATTGTTGTTATTAGTATTATTGTGGATCATTCAAAACACTAACAAACTAAATATTATGCTAATTAACCAGTGGGCCTTTTTGCGCACTTTCAGTAACGAGCCGTAGTCACTAAAATCTTTATCCTCTCTGTTCATGTTGGGTTTTGTTTGTTCTTTTTACTGATTTACTGATTGTTGGTTAATAAGATTTTAGAACCTGTCTTATAAATGTGTCGAAAAAGTAGACGTGCACCGATATTCAGTAACAAGGTTAACTGTGATATTCAACATACACAGTATTGTTATCATTGATGTTCTGAAATACTGTTATTGCATTTTGGACAAATTCACAAGTGATGTGCCGTCAATCAATGCCAGAAAAAACAGGGTTCAGTAAATTAATGTACCATTATACAAAGTCCTGTAATGGAAGTCTTTTTCCATTTTCAGACAGATATACCCACAATATATAACCACAATATTGCTATTTATGTAATTCAGACGCCTACATGTGTGCATCTCATAATTGCAGCCATTTTTAAATCCAACTTTGTGATAATATTGTAAAATGTGATAAGAAGGTAGGTAGAAATCATATTCATACACACATCTGGGCAATAATGGAAATGTTTTATCCTATTAATTTAATATATATATTTGTCTGTGTTTCTACTTAAGATTTTTGTAAAAAGTATTGTATTTTCATCTAAAGATATTTGATTACATTTAAATAAACCTGTTTTCAAAGCCAAATGTCTTGCTTTGTCTTGTGTACTAGACACCATTACTATAAATATTTTATAATTTCAAGATGAGCTTGAATTTATTTTTAGAAATGATGAAATTTGTAACATCGTAATGTATGAAACATTTTGTCATAACATCTAATTTAAAGGACCCATATCCTATGTTTTTCTTTTTTTCCCTGAGGTCCATGTGTAATATTTAGGTTTATGTACCAAAAATATTCATAGTAATAATTCACTTTAATATGGCTATTTACAACCTCCCTTTATCCTTTAGAATTAAACAGAATTTGTTATTGTGCCTTTTAAGATGGATTTATTTGTAACTGTGCCTTTAAGATGGATATATGTAAATGATATCTGTTCTCACTGGCTGCCCTGTATTGTTGGGTCATATGTTTTGAAATTTTATTGTGTCTATATCAGTCTATTTTTAGTGAGGAAAATATGGTAGTTAGAATTAATATAGTAGTAATAATTTTCCATATTATGGGCCCATTAAATGGATTCCACCCTTTAACATATTAATTTGCAGGGAAAATTAGTAAACAAATCCAGAACTTGAGTGAAAGATACCCTTACTAAAATATTACTCAAGTGAAAATGTAAGTGTTATATGTTTACTTTAGCTAAAGCACAACAGTAATTGCTTGTAAATGTACTTAGGTATGAAAAGTATTGCAAGATATTCTAAGATTTTCTTCTTCAGTTTAAAAAATGGGAAAAAAAAATGACCCCCATCCAAATTCCTGATATTGGGTGTCCGATTTAACTTTGTGCTTTATTTATTTATTTATTTATTTATTTAATTGGTTAGATTTTTTTCACAGTGTCTTGCAGAAAGGAGAGCAATGAAAAGTATATTTTATTGTGAATTGTAGTGGAGTGAAAGGGCAATTCCGTCCATTTTTCAAAAATTCTGCATAATTCAATGGTTGAAATATAAACTGTCTTTCAGAGTGGGTTGATGTGAAATGGAGTCAGCTTTCTTTACAGTATCTGCAATACAAGGAAAGCCATTTTATTTACTATCCAAAACCACCAGTGAACTTACACCTGTAAAGTTATTAAACGTAATATTGAAAATGATTAAAAAAATGACCCTGCATGTATCTCTCCACTATGATTGGAATTCTAAAAAATATGGTGTAGGCTGAAACATCATCTCAAAACTATCATAAAACTCTCTCAGGCATCATTTAGCTTAACCATATCAACCATATCCAGGCATTAAACTCTTCAGATGTCTGGTTCCTATCACCTCTAACTCCCTAGAACAGAACACTTCACATCAAGCCATTCCAAACTACTCTGTTTACGTCTTAACAACGCTTATGTGGAAAATTTGAAAAATTGGTTTAATTTCCCTTTAAGTAAAGTAAGGAAGTACGTGTGCTTCGTTCGTTGACGACCACTGGGACCAACGTTTTGAAAATCTGCACACTTAGTACGAGTTCAATGTCAAACCCATTAAGAAAAAAATAGGCTGTACAGTGTTGGTGGTCTACACGAGTGTAGGGGGCTACACAGCCAAAGTTCGACACCGGCACGATTTTACGCGCTACCAGCAGGGGGCGCCGCGTGGCTCATCACAGAGCGCATGTTAGAGGCTGGAGGGAAATGAAGAGAGGAAGCCAACCTCCAAACTTTCTTTGTTTTTATCTTTGTTACTAAAATGCAGGCCTTTTTCGGGTAACAGGTACTGATTTTACTGCATACGTGCATGAATATAACGCCCTTCGCCCGTTTGACAGTTTGGTGTTCTCGCTCTGTCGCCCTGGCTGCAATGTTTTGATTGATGATTTGGTTTTGCTAGCGCTGCTGGGGAGTTAGCCAGCTAGCTAACCCGAGTGTGGACTTTCTTAATCTTGCAGAGAGCAAGTTTCTCACAGTATTTGCATATTTTTTGTGAATTCTGTCAGTACGTGGCTCCTATAATGTCTCGTTTGTGAAGAAGCTTTTTGTAAAATCGTACTTTATCTTGTAGCTAACGTTACTGTAAAGGCATTTAGTTGTCATAGTAATGTGTGTCAGTAGGGGAATATTGAGCTCAGCATGGTGGTGGCTACTGTATACAATGTAAAAACATCTGTAACTTGTAAGAGACGTTTTCCAGCGACCTAGTTTAATTTCTCTTTTTTGCTGTTTCTAGCTGGTTCCTCTGTCCGTTGGCTCTGTGCAGTCCAGTCCTGCCCTGTGGGGTTTTGCAGTAGGGAGGGAGGAGTTGGCAGGTCCAAGTTATGAGTGCCAAACCCAAAAGAGCTGGTGAGTTCTACGAATGCATTGCATGTGACATATGACCATAAAAATATACAGACATGTGGCCATATGTCTGTATATGTTCATCTAAATATGACCATCTAAATATAAATATGAACATATAAATATGACCATAAACATATACAGACCTATGTTTATCCAAATATGACCATAAACATATACAGACATACATACCATAAACATGTACGGCAGTTTGAATGGAGAGGGTTTTTTGCGCTGTATTATTTTTTTTGTAGCTAAGTGTTTTCATCATTAGTTTCTAATGATAAAACTAGGAGTGTAATGAAACATATATATTTCCAGGTTCAGTTTGATTTTCTTTTCTGAGGTCAAGATTAAATACATTTTCAAAAGCATTTACTGTTTACAAGCAACTTCAGGAGATAACAGTCAGTTGAATGTGTGTGCATGTGTATGATAGCCCTGCCCTCTCCTCTTCTATCCACGTCACCCTTTAGTTTTGGTCATTGACAGTAGTTTCCATAAAATACACTGTTTTTTTTTTAATGTTTAAAACTATATTGAAATCATTACACCCTTATTTGCAATTCTCTGATTGTTTAAGGCATGGATAGATCTGGTGATCCCTCAAGGCGGGGGAGAAAAACCAAGTCCACACCCTGGGGTGGAGGCTCAGAGGTGGGTGGACAGCAGCTGCCAGTGAATGAGCAGAAAAGCACAGAACCGGGCCATCATTCACTTTCTGGACAAGGCGCAGCTAAAGCAACCTCCTCTCACCATATCACCTCAGGCAATGAAGGATCTCTCAGAGAAACGCAGCAGCCTCACATGACAGAGAGCTTAGAATCCAGCAATGCAACGAGTGATGCAATGAAGAGCTTGCAGGCTTTGTGTGCAGGAGCCTCTGGGGAGACTGGAGTGGGCGGGGCTGCTTTAAAGGCCTCTGAGGAAGTGAGGAAAAGTTCTACCCCAGTACAGTCACGCCTGGCCTGGAAGACCATGGTCAGACCAGCTTCTCCTCCAGAAGCACTTAAGGTAACTGCGTTCATTCTGATGCTCTACAGTATTCCCACATTTGATGGCATGTTTGCTTTTTAGCATTGTTATCCTAGTAGAATACTTGTATTATACACTGAGCTTCCAGTTTAATAGGTGCACCTGCCTTGTACATACACTCATTGACCATTTTATGAGAAACACAGACCAAGTAGGTGCATTTTTCAGGTTTATTGTTACTGACTGTGGTCCTTCTGCACAATTTATTAGCCCCTCTCTACCAGGTGTATCAATAGATGTACAGTTAGAGGCTGTAGGTCATCTTTTTTCGTGCTCAGATTGTGTCAGTCCAATTTGATACCCACTAAGGACCCAAGCAGAAAATTATTACTAATGAAATAATGTTCATTTTTAATAATTACTCATCCAAACATGTGAAACTATTATTGTATACATAGTTGTTGCTAAGGTAATATTTGTGCTTTATTTAAAGTTGCATTATGTAAAATTTTTTTGTCATAACTGAAAGAAGTATAGCATTACTCAGGAGTCAACAGGAAAAAGACTAAAATATGGTGTGCGTACGCTGCTGTGGTGCACCCTGTAAAGCCTGAAATATTAATTTAAAAGTCAGAGGTGTCTGGTCTGATGATGTCGGTGGGTTTTTGGACCATGACAAACCCCTTTACACATTAATTTTATATGCACAGTCTCAAAAAGTAGGTCAGGCTTTAGGTCTCAAATGTAAAATCAACGTTATACTGATGAAGATAAAATGACAATAATAGATAATTCACTTACGTCCTTGGAAGACAAATTTCGACTGAGTTCTCTTTGAACACTCTTTTAACGCGCTTGCAATCATCAGATTCATCCGCTCAAGGAAAGGGAAAGGAGCACAACCAGCATTACGTAGTGTTCTACTACATGTTACGTGCAAGTACACATTTCCACAAGAGAGGTCTCCAGATCACCAAATCTTGCATGATGGACGTTTTATAAAAAAGGCTACAGCTGAGCTGTCTTAAAACTGGCCAACTGGCTACCTCAGCTCTTCTTCTCTTTTCTGCTTCATGTTTGTTTGGTCAATCATGTCAGCCATACTGTTTCACATTTTGATTGGTCGAAAGTGTAATGATGGGAATATTTGTTAGGTTCATGCTTTTCCACTCTCGGACAGCAGCATATTCTTTGTAAGCATTTTTATATGAAAGGAAGAAGTAATGTATTCATCAAGCAGTAGCAGTGATGACATTATCATTTTTCTTTAAGCAGAAACTGGATAACAGAGCAAAAAATAAAAAATAAATAGCACAGCAAACTCCAATGACTCACACAGGAGCAAGACTTTGTCCTGAATGTGTTTTTAGATTGCAGTGGTTTGATGCTCTGCTTCAGTTTGGAGCTCCAAGCACTAACAATGAGCTGATAAAGTATGAGTTAACATGTCACTGTAGCTCTGATTGGTAGGCCTGGACCTGAACATATCTTGCTTTCTCCATTTTAAATTTTATACAGCATCACAGTTGATCGGTCATAAACAGTGGTCCCGTGGTCATAACCTGACCACTTCTGGAGGACTAGAGGATAACTGACTCAAATTGTGCATGGAAAAAGGTGATCTGTAGTCTCTATCTGTAAACCAATAAGGTAGTGTAATAAAGAAGCATACACCGTTTTTAAAAACTCCAGTAACACTCTTATACTCATATCAGCACCACATACGCTAACGTACCTCCACCATTTTGATGTCACTACCACATCCCAAATAATATCTGGTCAGTGGTGGTCCTATGGTGGTCCCTTTCCACTGATGGATGGGCTACAGGAGGCCGATAAACTGATAAACTGTGCAGGAACAGATGCATTGCAGTCAGAAACTAAACCTACAAAGTGCACCTATATGGTGGGTGTTCCTTATAAAATGGCAAATGACCTACAAGGTAGCTGTACCTAAATAAATATGGCAACTTAGTGTAGTATCCAAATAGTCATCTGGCCTGTTCAGCATACACATTGGTGCATATTCCAGAACCTTTTAATTACTATCGGTCAGCATATGATGATATTTGACAATTTGTTTTTATTTTAACATATAAAGATCTTGAATGCTGGAAGAAGCACTTCACCACCTCCTCAGTCAAAGCTACCTCAGAAACACAAAGGCCCAGCAAAACCGCAAGCAGGTCAGTATAGAGTAAAAAGAGATTAGCATCTCTTTCAGCCAACCAGTGCCAACAACTGCATTGTTCAATGCTGCACTCTTTTTTTTGTTATGTAGCGGTGAGGAAAAAGAAGAGGAAGATGGGTTTGTACAATTTTGTTCCCAAGAAGAAAACCAAAGTGTCAGCTAAGCAGAATCTCACTTTACCCTCTTCAAACAGCCAGGTGAGCCGTCTTCTCGTTATCTTAAATTGTTGCATATTGTAGAGCTGTGTTATCAGCACAGAAGGGGATTTTAATGTCATGGTAAATAGAAGTGAAGCTATGTCATCATTTCTCAGTTCTTCTCAATTGTGAGTATGTGTATGAAAATGATTTTTTTTTGATGAGTTTAAATAGTCATTGGATGATTTTCATTGTGTTGAAATAAAAGGATTCTGAACTGCTACTCACTGTGTTGAGTTTAAACGAAGGAGGAAAATACTTGTAAAAACAATCATAAAACCCAGATCTCACAGGCTGATTAAAGGAGCGATTATAATGGCAACTATTGATATAAAGCATTACTTTATATACGCACATGCACAATATCATTAATGTTTAGTTATATAGAAATAACGATCGTATGATCATGTGACACAAACACCTGGATTTGTACAAGCCACTAGAAACTCACTTGTCCTGTGGTAATCATCTGGATGTGAAACTCATCACTGAGGACATGTTAAAACACTTTATGACAGGCGTCCCTCTGATAATAGTGACTGTCATCTCTAAAGTATTTATTGCATTATAAATCGTTAGCACATGCTGGTGTGATGGAGTGGTGTTGAAGTGATCTTGGAGCAAGAGAAACACAGACTTTTTTTAAAAGCCTCTACTCACTTCTTCCATAATTATGCTCTCCTGCCACTCCACACCACTCCTGTGTCATGTGAACAGACTGAATGCTTAGTCTTTATCATTGCATCATATGCTTACACAGATGATCATATTTTTTCTTTCCTTAGAAAGAGGTGTTGCATGGGACCAAAGGGGTGCAGCTGCAACTCGAGGAGGCATTCAAACCCAGAACCAAACTTGATGGCCAAGAAAAACAGAGTGGAAGAGCAGCTGGAGGAGTTGCAGCTGAATCGGAGAACAAGAATGAAACCGTGAAAGCTCCTCAAAATGTCTGTGAAGAATACACAGAGCTTCCTCTGTACTCTCTGGCCCAGGAGAGCATGCTTGCAGCTATACGCACAGGTAGTCAGTGGTGATAACTAGGCCGATTTCCACTCTAGGGTGAACGCTTGCTACACCTGCACTATTAGTGGTTACAGTGTATTTTTCCATCTGTTTTGTCTCTAAATCTGGTCTAGAATGTTTTTGGTTTTTACTTATTTTTTGTGCATACAGCAGTTGCCAAGATGACAACACACTATAAGAAGAGGTTAAGGGCACAACTGAGACATCACAAAGGGCCAAATAACAGTCTGGTTGTCAGCCTGTGTTAATTGTTATCATGGTTATCTAATTGTAAAAGTACCAAAACATGTTCAGGTGGAAACGCCATTTGGTTGGTTACTTTCTTTGCTCAGAACTCTTCAGCCCTACAGTGGAAAAGAGGCTGCAGAGTGAACTATCCATTTACATATCCATCTTTGTCTTCCAGAACTCAGCATCTATTTGCATAATTTGTTACTGTCTTTTGACATGTACTTTAGTGTCTGACTGTTTCTTCAGAAACCTGCCTAAAATATTTAGATACCTGTAATCCTTCGGAAAACTTTAGCCTGGCTTGTGTTTTGCAGGCTTGCCTGAAGATAAAGAGAACATGGAGGCAGATGAGATGCTGGAGCCACCGCTCTGCAGCTGCCGCATGGAAACACCTAGGAACCAGGATGTAGTAACGCTGGCAGAGGGGAAGTGCATGGCTGTGGAGAGTGTAGATGGGAAGGTGTGTTTTTCTTTCTCCTTTGTATTCTCTTATTCTTGCTTTTCACTCATTCTCTCCCTACTAACCACTTTTCCGCTCTGTTTTTCTGTTTATCTACTTTATTGTACAAATGTTCTTTGCTTATTACCTCTGTCCTACTTCAGTTCCTCACTCTCATGCCTGCATAACTTACATATTAGTTTCATAATAGTTACAGAATGATTCATAGTAGTTACTGCATAATGTGCTTTATGATTAGTTATTGAATAATAAGCCTACATTTAAGGGGTTAAAGTCAATTTCAGATCATCATTTTTCACTCTTGCTCTCTGTCCATCAAAAGCTGAGTTTATGCCGGAGGCCGATCCAGAAGCAGGAGATGATGCGGCCGTCTCTGCGGATACCCTTGCTGGTGCTGTGCGAGGACCACCGGGCCGGCATGGTCAAGCACCAGAGCTGCCCAGGCTGTGGCTTCTTCTGCAGGGCTGTAAGTACAAGGGGGAGAGTTTGGGATCTCTGGGACTTATTGGGACTGATTGGGGCTTTTTCGTCCCCAATAAGTAAATGGTCCATGCAAATATTTAATGATATTTATTTGGATATGTTTATACTTTTTACTATCAGTAGTGTTTTAGTATAAACAGACTCTTAGAAGTCTCGGGGATGACAAGGCTTGACTCGGCACTCATGCTACCGAATACATTATTGCGAACTTGGAGTTGGATTGGTTACCTAGCTCTTCACTGTGCATTCCTATGCAACAAGATATGTAAGGTGGAAGCTTGAGCCTTTACCCAAAATATTTTATGTCACTGCACATCATCTGAGATGTTTCATGCATACTGTCCAGGACATTTTAGGGACTAATAAAAAAATGCATGTTGATGCACTTTTGACTCTTTTACAGGGAACCTTCATGGAGTGCCAGCCAGATGGTCACATCTCTCACCGCTTTCACCGGAGCTGTGCCTCAGTGATCCGCGGTCAGCTTTTCTGCCCTCACTGTGGGGAAGAGGCAAGCCAGGCTAAAGAGGTCACCATCCCCAAAGCTGACCCTGTTACAACCTTGCCTGCCATCACAACAGCTGCTTTGCCTAGAGACAAGAGAGACTCAGCTTCAGCAGAGTAAGTTTACAGATGATTTATTTGCTCTCCTATGCTCTTCACATTCTTTGTTTCCTTGTTAACAGCTCATGAACAGTGTATGCATGATCTTTTGATTCTGTACTCAACAGTAAATCTCAGACATCATTGAATTCAATTAAGATTTTTAGATAGTGATGCAGTGCATCAGGTTTCACCACTATTTAATCCAGTATACTATTAATGAGATTCAGAATTATTTAAAAAAATATCTTAAATGCACATCACTTTGCCAGCTATTTCTGCAACAGTGTAATATAGACAATAAAAAAATATATATCAAGCTTTTTTTATTTAATATTTGAAAATAGGCATAGAATTAAGTCTTGGCCAGATATTTGCTTTTTCTTTGTTAAATGTAACTAGAATCACTTTGAATCTGTTGGTTTTAATGTTCTTACTGCTTATATTTATGTACAGTTGAAGTCATAAGTTTACATACACATTCATTTAAACTCACAATTCCTAACAATTAATCCTAGTACACATTCCCTCACGTAGGTCAGTTAGAATCACTACTATTATTTTAAGAATGTAAAATGTCAGAATAACATTAGAGACAGTGATTTATTTCAGCTTTTATTTCTTTCATCACATTCCCAGTGGCTCAGATGTTTACATACACATGGTTAGTATTTGGTAGCATTGCCTTTTAAATTGTTAAACTTGGGTCAAATGTTTTGAGTAGCCTTCCACTTTCCAGTTTTGTCTGATTCCTCCTGATAGAACTGGTGTTACTGAGTCAGGTTTGTAGGCCTCTTAGCTCGCACATGCTTTTTTAGTTCTGCCCATAAATTATCTGAGGTATTGAGGTCAGGTTGGTGATAACCACTCCATTACCTTCACTTAGTTGTTCTTAAGCCATTTTGCCACAACGTTAGAAGCTTGCTTTGGGTCATTGTTCATTTGAAAGATCCAATATAGCCCCCAAGCTTTAACTTCTTGGCTGTTGTCTTGAGGTGTTGCTACAATATCTCCACATAATTTTACTTCCTGATAATGCCATCTGTTTTGTGAAGTGCACCAGTCCCCCTGCAGCAAAGCATCCCCACAGCATGATGCTGCCACCCCCATGCTTCATGGCTGGGATGGTGTTCTTTGGCTTGGAAGCCTCCCCCTTTTTCCTCCATACATAATGATGGTCATTATGGCCAAACAGTTTAATTCTTGTTTGGAACCATCAGACCAGAGGACTTTTCCCCAAAAAGTAAGATCTTTGTCCCCATGTGCAGTTGCAAACTGTATCCTGGCTTTTTTGTGGTGGTTTTGGAGCAGTGGCTTCTTCCTAGCTGTGCGGCCTTTCAGGTTATGTCAATATAGGACACGTTTTACTGTTGACATAGATCATCTTTTTTTGTACCTGTTTCCTCCAGCATCTTCGCAAGGTCGTTTGCTGTTGTTCTTGAATTGATTTGTATTTTTCGCACCAAAGTACATTCATCTCTAGGAGACAGAACATCTCCTTCCTATGGTATGATGACGGCTTGATCCCATGGTGTTTACACTTGTGTATTATCATTTGAACAGATGAACGTGGTACCTTCAGGCATTTGGAAATTGCTCTCATGAATGTATCAGACTTGTGAAGGTCCACAATTCTTTTTTGTCTTGGCTGATTTCTTTTGATTTTCCCATGATGTCAAGCAAAAAAGGCAAGTAGGCCTTGACCCACTGGAATTTTGATATAGTGAATTATAAGTAAAATAATCTGTGTGTGAACATGTGTGGGAACAATTGCTTGTGTCATGTACGAAGTAGATATCCTGAACAACTTGCTAAAACTAGAGTTTGTTGACAAAGTATCTGTGGAGGGAATAAAAATGAGCTTTAATGACTTCAAACTAAGTGTATGTAAACTTGTATATATGTAATGTATATTGAATTGCCACCTTCATTTTTATACCTGTACTGCTTATGTTGAGTATACCTAAAGTATCTGTATCTTGTATTCAATAATGTTTGCCTTGTGTGTTGCAGAAAACCTCCTGCGGGGCCTGGGGAACCTGCAGCAGAGTCATTGGAGACAGTCCTGGAAGCACTGGAGGATGGAAAGTAAGCTTCCATGTTTCCTACTTCATTTTTATTAAGAGACTTCACACATAGCTGTGTAAATGTAGTCCTGAAACATTTTCATCAAGTACTTAATTTGATAAATTCCTGTCATTCTAAGGTATAAGAAGTCAAAACTTCCCCCAAAGCAGCTCTACTTCTCAGCTAAGAGAGGCGAGCTTCAGCGAGTCATGCATATGCTTGGTAAAGTGCCATTTGTGAATTATCTGTGTAGAATCAGTGTTCGTGTATCTTATTCAGGTCACCTGTTTAAAATTCTAAATGAATGTCTTGTTTTCTGGGGTTTGTTGCTGGAATCAGTAGAAGGGGTGGACCCGAACCTGCAGATGGAGAGCGAGAGGAGGCGTACTCCTCTCCATGCAGCTGCTGCTGAGGGCCACAAAGAAATCTGCCACATTCTAGTTCAGGTATTTCAAGGCCTAATGCCACTACTAACATTGACATAGCATCATTCATCATTACCAATCCCAAAAACTACAACTACAGTAATTAGTCGTTTTACAATTACAATCTTGATTTGAGTCCTGGTGCAGTTTGAATCTAGAAAACATAGATTCTGCAACATTTATGCTCAAATAACCAGTGCAGAAAGCTGCCACGTTTCCTTTTTTGCCATGACCAGTGACCTCTGACCAGTGCCACGTGACCTCAAGTATATGTGGATTTGTTTGATTTACATATTTTATTTAGAATGTGATTTATTTATGTTTGTGGTTATATATTGTAAAAATTTTGGTTAGATCTCTGAACTGCTATTATGCACACACTGCAAGCTATGCAATGTTAGAACTTAAGAAATATACATATCCTAGCATTCTTTACTCAAAGAATCATTAAGTGGGAATTGAGATCTCAATTTTTAGCCAAAAATCATGATTCTCATTTAAAAAAGAATCATGCGGCCCCAATCACAAATATGCTTGCTTCTGGGAAGGCATTTTATTGAGTAAGGAGTCTACGAGGTGAGCATGTTTCTGAAAGGCCTCTATCTCTATCTTTTCTCTGAGGCGGGTGCGAACCTGGACATGTGTGACAATCAGCAGCGGACTCCTCTGATGGATGCCTGTGAGAACAACCATGTGGAAACGGTGGAGTACCTGTTGAAAGCTGGGGCCTCCACAGCGCATAAGGTGTACATCTTTCTATTGGAACTTTATTTAGCTTTATAGGAATTTGAACTGGAGCTTAATTTAGTTGTACTTCACCACATAAGTAAGTCAGTTTCAGTAATTTCAGTAATCTGCATTATGTCCAGAACAGGCTGAATCTTTTATTAGGCATAAAGGTGTGATGCTTTTTCTAGGACTAATAGCTTTACCCTTCAGTTTGTATCAATTTCCATGCATAAATTACACATACTTATTGTTTTGTATGTTAGCTTTTGCTTCTAATTAACAAACAGCCGGTGAACTCAAGTTTATTCTTGGTTAACTGATGATCTTGACGTGGAAGATTTTGACATTTGACATTTTGTCAGTCAAAAGCTCAAAAGTTTCAGTGTCATTATTGAGCTTCAAAGAGACAAACATACCTTTACTGCCTTGCAGATTTTTTCTCATCCACTCTCATAAAGAAGGGGAAATCCCTTGAGAAAAATTACTGAGAAAAAGAAGTAGACAAAAAGAGGGAAAATTTGCATTAGACTGCACTAGACTAGAACACTGAAAGTGGACATCTGTGGAGTTGTGGAGAGATGTGGAGTAAGGTTTTAGGAACCGATTAAGTGACAGATTAAATTTGTCACTGAGATTATTTGGATCTTGAGAAGCAGAAAATGCAACCAATTTGTGCGACTGAACTTTGTAGATTTGGGGAAAAACATCCCGACAGATTATTTGTAATTTAAAAAGCAAGTCTTCTGAAAATAATGGAAGCTGTAATAAAGGCAAAGAAAATTTCTGTTGTTATCTTCAGGTGTTGAGCCTTCTGAATAATGTTAGAGACCACCCTTAATTTAATTTTATTTAAGTTATTTATTTTTCAGTATCAGGTTAAAAAAAAAAGCAGAAAACATTTTTTTCATAGAAAATTACCCAGAAGGCTCAGCAACTAAATATTGAAAATGTTATTGTTATATTTAGTTGTTGAGTCTTCTGGGTAATATTCTGTGAAATAAATGCTTTTTGCTTTTTGCCTAATGTTGAAAAATGAATAACTTGAATAAAATGAATAAAAAGTGGTCTTGACTTCTGCACAGTACTGTATCAGACAAGCAAGTCTACCTTTTGTAAATTTAGTTCTGTCTGAACTTTTCACACCATATTGTTCTATTAAACATGCCCCTGTTGTTTATTTCTTTCTCACAGGATATAAGAGGATCTACGTGTCTTCACATGGTGGCTCGAGGAGGCCACACTGGCACTCTGCAGCATCTCCTGTCTACTTCCTTTATAGATGTCAACTGTAAGGTAACAGTGATACTGTTTATTTTATTGCCTCATAGTAGAAAGAGTGATCTCACCTCAGGGACCATGTTTATTAGAAATAGGGGTGCTTATGCTTGATGGCATGTAGAGTGTGTAATAGTGCAGATAGATTGAATGACTCTGTGTGTATACATTACTGTCAGGATGATGGAGGGTGGACACCCATCACCTGGGCAACTGAAAATATGCACAAAGAGCAGGTAAAGCTGCTTATCGCCAAGGGAGCCGACATCCATATGAGGGACAAGGTAGGTGAATGGAATCTATAGGGTCTTTAAACAGCAAAATTGAGCTTTAAAATGAGCTTCCATTTCCAGTGAATTATTATATGTGTTTAGTGACTGTTACATTATATTAATGCTAAAATCAAAAAGATCTTCAGTGGAGAATCCTTGCTGAATGTTCTGTTTAGTCCAAGAGTTTATGTACACTTTGTAACATGGGCCAATCAGAGAGCTATCTTATTGTCAAAAAAAGCCAAGTGTAAATGCAGCAAGCATTTGAGACTGATAAGTATCTAGTCGCTCAGATCACTTCAGATGCAGCTGAGCTTTTTCTTCAAGCTGCATAAGTAATCTTTACAATATTTACTCCTCTAGAACAGAACTGTGTAGGTACTATAAACAGAGCTCTTCCATTTGTGAAGTTAATCATGGATGACAAAATAAAAACTGCATACGACAGCTTTTGTCGACAACTATTTTGTAAGTGCTGTAAAAGCTGGTGCCAGTTTCTTGTGTCGTGTATACCTGCATAATGCCTGGCACTTCCAGGATTTCCGTGTAATGTGGGAAAAGAAGCAGTGATGCAAATCATATTTATCTAAGCAAGACACCATTTATGTGTTTATAGAATGTAAATAAATGTGCACATCATCCAGATATGAGATGCATGAAGTGACAGGTATAAATAGCCTGTAGGAGTACATTTAAATTTTTGGAGGAGCTGCAATCTCAAAATAATGTGTTTTTAAATTGTGGTTTATTATGATGACTCTAATCTAGGAGGAGAATATCTGTCTGCACTGGGCCGCATTCGCAGGCTGTGATGACATTGCTCAGCTGCTGCTGGACAACAGGTCGGACCTGCACGCTGTGAACATCCACGGAGACTCGCCTCTGCACATCGCGGTCAGACAAAACCAGCTGGACTGTGTCATGTGAGTTTGGAGCGGATGACCAGCTACAGACAAAGCATACAAGCAGTTTTGTTGCTGCTTGTGTTTACAGACCTAAGGCCAACCCATCTCAGTTGTACATGAGTCATGTTTGTTTAGCACAGTTTGGTACATTGAAAAATAAAACAGTTTAATTTTTTAAAATATTTTCATCTAATATGCCACTTCATTTCAGTTTCAAAGTGGAAATGTGTTGCTCTAAAATATATATATTGTACCTTATAGGAGCACTTTATAGTTCTGCAGTTACAGATGGCCGTGGTCATTGGACACTTCTATCCACTTGTAGATGTAAAGTTAAAGACAGCAGATGATTGTATTGTAGGGGCTGTAGCAGGTTGCAAACGCAAAGTGGTTTTATTTGGGGCCGTCTAATACTCTTTGTCCATATAACTGGCAGGGGTCAACATACAAGCAGGCAAAAGCAAAGGCAGATCCATGTTAGGAAAAAAAGGGGGAAACAGTACAAAGGTAAAAGGCTCAATAACTCTAGTAGAAACACAGAGACTTCGCAACAGCTGACTGAGTGGAGAGTCCAAGTTGAGTAGTGACATCAATTAATTAAAGTAATTACATTGTATATTTATTTTTTAAGAATAATGTATCACACTCTGTACACACTGAAAAAGCCCTTCATGGAGAGGCAATTATACCCAAGAGTCCAACAGACTCTGTAAATAGAAGCAGAAAATTTCAGCTTTTGACATTTAACAAAGAAAATCTGGATTCATATTTTTTATTTAGAGAAATTCACATAGTAAAAATATTCCTGAATGTCTCAACAACTAAAACTGAGAAATAGCAAAACAACTCTTTATTGCTCTGTTTTGTTTTAACTTATTTGACTTATTACTAATTTTCTGTGGCAATGACAAAAATATTTAGAATTCCGAAAATATGTGAATAAAGTGAACTTTGAAATTTTAGTTAATATGCAACACAAAGTAAATGAATTTGAAAGGAATTAAAATATTTTTTTAAACACTTTTCTGACCCCCAATTTTAAACACTTAAAATGACCCATATGCCAGATGTGTGGTACTATAAGGTCCTCTATCTGTTGGTGGACTGCATGAAACACAGTTAAATGCACAGTTTGAAGTGCTGTAATTTGATGCTTGGTCTGCAGGCTTTTCTTGTCGCGAGGTGCGAACGTAAGCCTAAAGAACAAGGATGGAGAGACTCCTTTGAACTGCTGTACTGTCAACTCCAAGGTGTGGACCGTACTGAACACCAGCAAGAAGTTGACTGATGCCCGTAAAGGCAGAGAAAGCCAGGGAGAGAAGCTCCTCTGCAGGTTGCTGGATCATTTTAGCCTCCTTCAGTCTTAACACTTTAAATGCTGTTTACTTGTACTGCATAAGACAGTAAGATAATTATATGTTCTCATATTAATATTTGGTGTGTTAACTTAATATTGTGCTCTGTTGTGCTTGGAAATTGCATGCTTACAAATCCAAGCTAATATTCCTGATTTCTGACCCCAGTGCTTCAGCTTAGAAAAACTGATGTTTGTTTTGCCTTTCATGTGTTCTGGTGTTTATATAATGTGGTATTGCACAGAGATCTGTCGCGTGGCTATGAGGAGGTCCCTGTGGCCTGTGTGAATGGAGTGGACCAAGAGCCCTACCCAAATGACTTTAAATATGTCCCTGAGAACTGTTTCACCACTCAGGTGAACATCGATGAAAATATCACACACTTACAGGTAAGAGGGTAATACAGACATATGCCAATTAAGACAATTGGGGCTAGATTTTTACCTGATTCTTTGTGTATCTGTTTTTTTTTCTGTTAAAGCACTGCACATGCAAAGACGATTGCTCCTCCAGTAACTGCATATGTGGTCAGCTCAGCATGCGCTGTTGGTATGACAGGGTAAGTCAGTCAGGAAATGGAGCCTGATGAACATACCCATTTATATACATATTTAGTAACATCAGTGAAGTGAAGTGAAGTGAAGTCTTTCGAAAGCTTACTAGTAAAGTAAATAATCCTTTTTGGCCCGTATTCAGTTGAAAACAGTGCAAATAAAATATATTTAATATTTCCACCAATAAACTTTGTTGTTTTTGTATGAATATGTTTATTCTAAATTTGATACTTGCAACATGTCCCAAAAAAGTTGGAACAGGGGCATGTTTACCACTGGGTTACATCACCTTTTAACAATGTTCAGTAATCGTTTGGGAACTGAGAAAAATAATTGTTATTGTTAGTGGAATTTTTCTTGTAACTGTTGTAACACATGCAGAATGTGGCCTGTCATTGTCTTGCTGATACAAGCAGGGACGCCTCAGAGAAAGACAATTGTCTATGTGGCATAAGTTGCTCCAAAATGTGTATGTACCCCTCAGCATTAATGGTGTCTTCACTGATGTTAAGTTACCCATGCCCTTGGCACCACCACATGCTGGCTTTTGAACTTCGCATTAAGAACAACCAGGATGGTCCTTTTTCTTTTTGTCTCAGAGACCACAACATCCATTATTTCTAAAAAACAATTTGAAAAGTAGACTCTTCAGACTAGAGCACATTTCCACTTTGTGTCAGTCCATCTCAGATGAGCTTTAGCCCAGCAAAGTCAGCAGTGTTCCTGGATGTCGTTTATTTATGGCTTCTGCTTTGCGTAGTACGGTCTTAACTTGCATTTGTAGATGCAGTGATGAACTATGTTTACGAACAAGGGTTTTACGAAGTATTCCTAAACCCATGTGGCTATATTCATTGCAGAAGCATGTCAGTTTTTTATGCAGTGCCATCAGCAGGACTGAAGGTCACAGCCATTCAGTATTGGTTTTGGGGTTTGCCCTTTATGCACAGAGATTTCTCCAGATTATCTAACTCTTTTAATAATGTTATGGGTGGTAGATGGTGAAGGCTCTAAATTCCTTGCAAACATGCAATGAAACTGTTGGATTATTCGCCCCTGCAGTTTGTGGCATTGTGTTGACTTCCTTTTGTGAATGCTCCTTTTATACATGATAGCATCACCTGTTACCTATTCACTTGTTCACCTGTGGAAAGTTCCATAACAGGTATTTTTGATCATTCCACTAACTTTCCAGTTTTACACTGCCCCTGTCCCAACTGTTTTTGGAATGTGTTGCAGGCATCAAAGTTGGACTTTAGAGAGTATATTTTCAAAAGATAATAAAGTCCATTTTCATTGTTTGGCCTTTTTTAAACAACAATTGCCTAATTAATTGTCAAATCTGTAAGTAATCCACAAGTTTTCATTGCATGAATAACTTAATAGATTGCTGAATGTGTAAATGAATGAACAAATAGCAGATTTTTGCTCTGCTATTCAATTCTTGTATTTCTCCACATTGTAATCCCGGAAAGCCATTGGCATGATCACCTCACTGGAAGTTCTTGTCCTGATTATCACTTGTCCTTTCTGCTGTGTTCAGGAGGGGCGTCTGTTGCAGGAGTTTCTCTAGAGAAGATCCACCCTTCTTGTTTGAGTGTAACCATGCCTGCTCGTGCTGGAGAACATGCCGGAACAGAGTGGTGCAGAACCGACTACGGTAATAATGCATTTTGAATGAGTCATCAGCCAGCCTGTGGCTATTAAGTAAATTAAGATGTTGCCTAGGCTTCTAAATGTTTGCAGTGCATTTTACTAGTTCAGAATTACAGTAGATCAAATTAAATTTGACATTTCTTGATGCTTTTATGTCACTAGGGTACGGCTGCAGGTTTTCCGGACTGCTAGAATGGGCTGGGGTGTGAGAGCTCTGCAGGATATTCCTGAAGGAACCTTCATATGCGAGTATGGCCTTCTGCTCATGTCCCTTAAAAGCAATTACATTGTTTTATAACAGTATAAACTGTTGTTAAGCATTATGCTTTTAAATTTTTTTTTGAAAAGTCACTATAAAACTTTTGTTAACAAGTGTCAGACAATAAGATGTGTGTAACTGGAAATATTTAGACACTGCTTGATTATTGTAACAGAATATATTGAGCGTTGTGCGTGTCCGACACGTTATGTAAAGTCAGTCCACCGGTTTGTAAAAATTTCTGTATCATTCAGTCGTTGAGGTGTAAACAAAGTAATTCAGACAGATTTAGTGTGAACTGATGCATTGTAGAGAAACTTAGCGACTCTGATTCCTTTACAGTGATGGTGATTGGAACCAGGGGTTGCAATGTCTACAACAAGTATAGAGATCTTATTTATTAGACAATATTACCAGAACAAAATCTTTTTTTATGTAGTTTTTATGTAATGTTAATAATGGTAAAATAGTATGCACTTCTCTGCCAAGTATAAATAAAAAAAAATGTGTTTTAGGCTAAAACTTGGTGTTAACGTTATTATAAAACAATGTCTCAGGCATCAACATTTGCTACCATTTCTTCTAATGACTTTCTTTGAGGGAGCTTTTAGAAATATGAAATACTTCCTATGCCTAGTTTCTGTTACCACCACTATGAACAGTTTTGACTGTCTCGGAATGGAGATTTTTCGCATCAGCCCACTCAACTTGGTTCGCATCTCAACCTTAAAAATTGGTGGAATGCCTCTATTATTCTGTTTTTGTTCTGTTTGTGTCAAATACGTTTACCCAGTGAATTTGTTTTGTGTGCAGGTTTGCTGGTGAGATCATTTCAGATGGAGAAGCGAACGCCAGGGAGAACGACTCATACATGTTCAATCTGGACAATAAGGTCATTTTCACAGACTTCTATGCTAATGAAATATTAAACACTGTTCCTCAACCGTTGAACCTTTTGTAGTACACCTGGCCAGCAGGGTGTGCTGTAGGTACCTAACCACTGAAGTGAGATACGTTTTTCTTGACTGAATGATTTTAATCTTTGTTTTGTAGGTTGGTGAGGTCTACTGCATTGATGCCCAGTTCTATGGCAATGTAAGCAGGTTTATGAACCACCTGTGTGAACCCAATCTGTTTCCTGTGCGAGTGTTCACAAAGCACCAGGACCTGCGTTTCCCACGTGTTGCTCTCTTCTCCAGCAAAGCCATAAAAGCTGGAGACGAGCTTGGGTAAGGCTCTTCATCAATGAAGAAAAATGCATGGCTTTTTATCTGTTCATCAATCAGTCGGTCCATCCATTATTTCTAGCCGTCCATCAGTCCATCAGCTTGTTTCTTTCATTGTCCATTTATCCATCCAGAGTGCAGAAGGATGGGGGCACAGGTACAGTATAGGAAGTGTTTCTCGTTTCTGAGGATCAAGGGATGAGAGAGATAAGAGAGAGAAGGGCCTTCTGCCCCTGGATACACCAAGAAGTGGTCTTCTGCCAGCTGGATGCCGTAATCAAGCGATGCCAGTCAGTGGCACTGGACCCGCTCAGCTGTCTTCTCTGGCAGACGAGTGCTGAACTGCGTTAGTGCCACCAGATCAACAATTTTGTCTTTGACACAAGTCCCATAGCTGCTGCATGTAGGCAAAGGGTCCGCCAAACTCGCTGAGTGTCAGCTTTCTGAGGCACTGTCTATGTTGCTGAGTAACTGCTGAAGGATGGCATTTTTTGTGGCAACTGCTGGGCAGCGAGCCTGGCTTTTCCTGACAGCAGGGAGAGCAAGTGGACTGCCCTTTTTCTTCAGCAAGCCACAAGCAGCTACCATGCTTTAGCTCCACAAATGTCTTGTGGCTTGTCCTGTGGAGACATTTTTATTAGGGTGATGTAGGCTGCAGCTGGAGTGATAGAAGGCTGCAGCAAGCTCCAGACACACTGGGCTTGTTCAAGATGAACCGTGCCTTGCCTTGATGTTCAACGAGAGTAGCCAGTTGTAATTGGTGAAAGAATCAAGAAAACAGACGTCAAGCCAAACAGTTTACCGGCAGCACGTCACCTGAGGCAGAACATCATACATATCATGGAAGAATATAAATTTGATTCTCACATGAAAATAAGAACGACAAATACTACACATTTAAATAGGCAGTTCACATTTAAATTCGTCTTCTATCAAGATACCCAATCTGAAAAAATTGTCCCCCAATAGGCTTCACCATTCTTTCAGCCTGGAAAAGGAAATGGAAGTCGAAGGATGTTTCAGATGAACACCTATGAGATCCTACTTAACAGGTCCCTAGACCCACCTCTCATGGAGAGAATGTCCAATACTCAACAGATTCAGGGCTGGTCATGGCCTATATCTGGCCAGCCTTCACAGGTTGGGCAACTGTCCAAAACCAGTGTGTGCATGTGGAGAGGAGAAAACACTAATACATATCGAAAGCTTGCCTTTCTCCAAAGGCTAAAAAGAGGATATTTTGCCCCCATGCTGTAGATCAAGATACACCTGCTTGGCTTAAGGACTTTGCATTCGCTAAATAAATATAAATATCCCTGTATGTCATCATGATATGCTGGTGGTGCCGAAGCAAGTCATGAAAAAAAACTGGCCTGCGCTTTTTGCTCTCAAGCTGTTATTACTGTTCCTGCTGGGAATCGAGAAAGGCCTTGTGTTGGGCCTGTTGCAGGCTCACGAGGGACTTAAGCCCTTTTGCGAATGGAGAGAATTCCATCAGGTTATATAAGTGTGCCCTTTCCAGGTTTCAGCACCACTGTAAAGCCCTTTGGCTGTGTGAAGGAAGGTCACAGGTGGCAGGAATGCATGAACATAGAGCTGGTTTGCTTTTACTAAACTTAGAAACAGTAACAGTACTTTTTAGCAGCAATATAAACTTTTTCCAGTCTTGCTGTACGTTTGTTTTTCTTTGTTTCGGCACTGTGTTGGGGTAGCTCTCTCTCCTTGGTCTTCGTGTCATGAGGAAAAAACAAAAAAAATTGTAAATGGCTGTTTTCTTTTGATTTTATTACTATTTGAATGACGTTGTGTGGAAAATATTGTTTGTTTTTGTTCCCTGTAATGTTTCTAATCCCAGCTTTTTTTTTGTCCCCCCCCCAACCCCAGCTTTGACTATGGAGATCAGTACTGGGAGATCAAGAGGAAGTATTTCAGCTGTCAGTGTGGTTCTCCGAAGTGCAGGCACTCGGGGGCCGTCTTGGGCCGCAGCCATGTGAACAGCTCAGCCCAAACGCCCACTGTCCAGTCCTCAGCTCAGGTAGCCAGCACTGAGCGCATTCACTCGGCCAGCACTGCCAGAACAGTAACCCTACCCTGAGGTCTGCCTCGAGAACAAGTACAGTAGACTGCAGCCATGAAGTGTTTTAGGTGCGACTATATGATCGTGTTTCTTGACAGTAATCTATCATGTCAATATACTGTATTTTTTAAACTCCATAAATTGGAGTAAATTTTATACAAATGCACACAGATTATTGCACATGAGTAGAATACATTTTAAAGCTAATTTTACAGCATATCAAATATAGATATCAGTTTGGATGAAATGATGTCAGAATTGTTTAAGGAGGCTGGAAAAACACACTTGATTAAAAAAGAGGTGGAGATGTTTAGCATGCTATCTACTACATCACTACTTAATCACTGATGTGTTTGAGTAGCTGAGACTTGTACAGATGTTAAATTGATGTCCTTAACATAGCTAAGATTAGGAAGAAGCTGTTGAGCAAGATGCTGTTAAAATTTTAATGCCCTTTGAAGAGGTTTTTTTAAATATATTTTTCTAATCATCCCAATTTTATCATGTTCTCAGTACTGGCAATAATTATAATCATGTGATGAATAAAGCTTTTTTTGTATATATTTTCTGTTATTCAGTTGAAAAGCAGTGTTTTCATTCATTGTTATCAGAAAACTGTGTTATTGGGAATTTCAGCACTCATCATCAAGTGCAGAGCATCCTGGATACAGAAATACAAATTAATATTATGAAGGAAAATGGTAAGTATGGTAAATAATGTTTTGTTTCCACGTTGAATTTAACTGCTCAGCTACAGAGGGGGCACTCTAAGCCAAACAGGAATTAACCAAAGCGATCTAGAATTGGCCAATGCAGATATCCAGTATTTTTGATGTGTCAATGCCAGTACACACAGATTTACACATGCACCTGGATCAGCATTATAAAGTCATGTATTACATTTATTTGTAAGGTTATTGGGAGACTAATAGGAAAAAATTATTCAGACACCTCAAATGAAGAGTATTAGTACTTTGTTGCAAAGCCATTGTTAGCGATGACAGCTTTGAGAAGTCCACAGAAAGAAGTAAGCAGCTTTTGGCAGTACTGTGCTTCAATTTTGGCCAATTTCTCTTGGCAAACCATGTTTAATTTCATAGGGTTACAAGGGTCCCTCTGATGGACTGAATTTTTTAAAAGGATTGAAATGAGGAGATGCAAGCACCATCTCCTTTTTGCAGATACCATGTTTGAATTATTTTGGCTGTATGTTGTCATTGTCTTGTTGAAACATTTTTTCCCGTTTCTTGATTGATGAGATTAATTTCTCATCGATCGTCTCTCGGTACAGCGCTCCTTTCATGTTTGCTTCGATGATGTGTCATGACCCAGTACCTTTTGCAGAGAGCTCAATATGATGATGCTCCCACCTTCGCACTTTACTGAGGGTATGGTGTTCTTGGGATTATACGCACAACTCTTCTTCCCTCAAACATGAGCTGAATTATTGCTAAAGAAGTTTTTCTTTTCGTTTCATCAGACCAGAGTATTGTGAATTTTGAGGTGTGTTTAGGATCATTATCCTGTTGTGGAAGCCATCCTCTTTTCATTTTCAGCCTTTTTTAACAGATGGTGTGATGTTTGCTTCCAGAATTTAGTATCTAATTGAAACCATTCTTTCCTCTAACAGTGAAATGTGCCTTATGCCGTTTGCTGCAACACAAGCCCAAAGCATGATTGATAGATCCACCCCCTTGCTTAACAGTTGGAGAGATGTTTTTTTCATGAGATTTGGTACCCTATTTCTCCAAATATGTCTTTGCTTGTTGCAGCCCATAAGTTCTATTTATAATATATAAAATATATAAACTTCAAGTTTATAAGCTTAATATAAACATGTTTAGATGTCCCTTTGCAAACCTCTGATGATAAATTTTGTGATGAGGACGCAGGAAAGGTTTTTATCTGTTGACTCTTCCATGAGGGTCATATTTGTGCAGGTGACACTGCACAATAGAACAGCCACTCTAAAGAGTTTTGATTTGTCCTTCTAGCAATCCTGCATGCTGTTCTCTCAAAGTTTTCTTGGTTTTCCAACTTGACCTCCTTTTTACTGCCATTTTTTGATTACATTACGAATTGAGGAAACAGCTACCTAAAGACGCTTTGCTATCTTCTTATAGCCTTCTACTGCTTTGTGGGCATCAATAATTTTAAATTTCAGAGTGATAGGCGGCTGCTTAGAGGCACCCTTGGCTGCTGATTGTTGGGACAAGGTTTAACGAGTCGATGTATTTATAAAGCTTTGAAATTTGCTTAACTTGGCTTTTCCTAATGAACATTGTGAACATGCCCTGGCCCTAACAAGCTAAATAAGGTCTGAGATCTTGGTAAAAGTTATCTGAGGGCTCAGATCTCTTGGGGTATACATATAATGTCATTTTGGACCTGTGTTTGTAGCCAGTTTGTAAAGAAATGTATGTAGTAAATGCCTAAATGTATTTTGTTGTTTGTTCTTGGTTGACTTTAACTAAGAACAAAGATGATGCCCACAAAGTTCTGCCTGTTCCACCATGTTCATGTCTGATTTAAAAAATAATAGTTTCATGAAAATATATTGGTGATTGGCTTCTCTCCATAATGCATATTATCATTACTGCAATAAGATTAAATCTTTGTGATAATGACTTTATAAATACTGCAATCATGGAATAGAATATCTTAATAATAAGATGACTAAGCGGCCACTAGTGATTCAGCAAAAAACTCTACATTGCAGTGTCTCTTGGTTACTATAATTGGTCACTTTTGTAATTTGGTCATTTTTGGTTACTGTAATGACCTTCTTAGTGGTCTCCCTGCTAAACTCCTTACTAAATTACAGAATGTTCAAAACTTGCAGGTGGAGTCCTCACACTAAATGCTCTACACTCTTTACACTTATTCTCCAACCTGCTGCTTTCCAAATTTAATACAAGTTTTTGCCCATAACCTTCAAAGCCCTCCTTGGGCTTGCTCCTCCATACATCATTCCTACGCCTTAGTCTGTACGCATATGTGCCCTGCTTCAGGTCTACTCAGGGTGCCTTGTTTTCGATTGTCCTTCGCTGGTGGCAGAAGATTCAATGCAACAGCTGCCAAAACTTGGGAACTTGTGCCCTCAAAGCTTCCTCTGATCTCTGAATTCTGTGGAAGAGACAAAAACCTCATCCTCACTGTTAAGTATGGTGGTGGATCTGTGATGATGTGGAGATGTTTTTCGTCCAAAGGCTCTGTATTGTTTTATATAGAGCTGGGCGTTTTCCTTAAAGGGTAGAAGACACTTTATTTCAATTATTTTTGAAAGGGGCCATGTCCTACATTTTTTCTTGTATTTTAAATCCACCTAAAATGTTTGTATGATCTTCTGTACCAAAAATTTTGATTTATTTTTACATGGCCATATGTAAATAATCCCTGTTCTGATTGGCTGCCCTGTTTGGTGCCCCATTCAAAAAGCAGTCCACACTGAAACACTTAATCCTTAAGTGCGAATGGCTTCTCCAGATGCACTCAAGGTAATTGTGTCCACTCTGGTGCTTTACAGTATTCCCACATTTTGTAATTGATCCCCATTTTATGACGTTGTTTATAAACCCACCATGTACCCACACTCATTGGCTGTTTTATCAGAAACATTTAATGTAGAGGTGGCCTTAGTAGGTTTACAATTATTGACTGTAGCTTATTTCTTGCTGCCAAATTCATTTATGATGAAGAACAGGATGCCATTAAGAAAAAGCGTTGAATTTGGATAAACACGTTGTAATAAATGGTTCAAAATCAGAATGTTTATAAATTGAAAACAAAGGCTAAACAGCTGATGCAAATTGAATTATAGGATATGAATTTATAGGAGAGTCAAACAAGTTCTGAAGAACAGTTGTTGTGTTATTCAAAATAATGCATGACTTTTCCATCTCCTCCAATTATTAATTTTTAAAGGTCTGACACTTTGAGAAAGTTGATACGTATTTATCTCCCAACCACTTTGAGAAATAATTGGTTGAGAAGTAAGATTAGTGGATATTTAATGTATTTAAATGTATTTGATGTAATCACTGTGTCCAAGGCACAACGTTTCCTGATATTGTGCCTAAGAAAGGGCACACAATTATGCATTTTATTAACTTCAAAACAACTAGTGATATATAGATTGGAACTGCCACAATATCAAGATGTTTTGTTTGTTTTTTAATTATTTAAATTTGTTTATTATGTAGACAGCCCTCCGCCCAATGACTGCTGGGATAGGCTCCAGCTCCCCCCGCAACCCAGAAGCATAAGCGGCTTAAAAGATGTGCGTGGTGGTTCAGGAAAGTTCACGAGGATGCAAGACATTTTAAATCAAACCATTCAAATAATTGTTATATGCTCAAAACATTAGGTATATTAGGTATGGGAAAGGTTGTAGAAACTTAATCAAAGGGAAACTTAAATAGTAGCTTTTATAAATTTTTCTTGGACTAGATCTTAAATTTAGCCCTTTGGCGCCCTCTGTTGTTAGGTTTGTAGGCCTGTTCTGCTCTTTAATGCACATACGGTATGTTGCTGTTCATTTACATTTAGTACTATTGGTGTATGTTTTCTGTTTTGTAATACTATTGTTCATCTTATTTGTTTGTTAATGGACTGTTGATTTTGTGTTGTGGTATATTTGTGAGTCACAAAGAAACTCAAGTAAAGTAATGGGACTAATCACGTGCTGGTATTTATATCACTGTCATCGCAAGGTATTTTTGTCCATATACATGCTGCAATAAAGGCTTTTTAATTTATTTTTGTGAGTTCAGACCATGCCTTCAACATGGTGGTAGTGTGAGGGAAGACTGATTGCGGGAGGGGGGAGAACTCTGAGAACTTGGGCTGGAGTTCTGAGCAGCTTTTGCCTGTAGCTGGAAGGCCAGACCCCCCTCATAGCTGTAGCAAGACGGAGGAAGAGGGAGGAGATGGGGTGGCGCTGGGGACTGCAAACACTACGGAAGGCAAGGATGTGAATTTATAGGGCGTTATTTTGGAAGAAGGATGGGTTTCAGCCACGTTATAACATACCTACATAAAGAATGTCAAGATTTACTCTTTCGCAAGCACTCTTTGTGTTTGTACTTTTCTGAATTGTACTGCCTGTGCTTGGTTATATTTTATATTAACATATAAAGATCTTACGTGTTGTAAAAAAAAGCTGTTTGATGCCCCATGCATTTTAAATTGCCTCGAACGATACAGTTCTACACTTTATATTGTTACACCCCTAAAATATACCAATCAGAGAATACCAATGTCACTGTGTTCAGTGTGTAAGCATTCTCTGCAAAATCAGTTTCAGGTGTAAATTACACTGGACTGATTATCTCCATGTTTAAAACCATTGGCCTTACAGGGGAAAAGAGGCTATAGACTGAACCATCCGTTTACATATTATATATATAACCATCCTCATCTTTCACACTGCATGCTGCACTTGCATTATTTGTTATTGGCTTATATCAGCACATATTCTGGCTGTCTGATTTTATCAGACAGTTGGCCATGATACTTGGCTAGGATGAGGCCCATTCAGATCAGGGATGCACTGATATGAGAATACTGGGACAATGCCAAAATATTTTTTGTGTATATATCTGCTTGGGCTGATATCGATACACATTTATAAAATGTAGGAAGTGGGTCTATATTCACCTGAATTATGTCTGTATGTGGGACCACACAGGTCATAACTACATAAATGATAGTTACGTTACTTTCAGCTTCACAATATGGCTTGAGATTAATTACTGAGTAATGAAAGGGGTAAAAGTCTTAAGTTTTAAATCATCATTTGAATCACCTTTCTTCCTCTGTCCATCCAAAACTGAGTTTGGATCAGAGGGGCAATCCAGAAGCAGGAGATGGTGCAGCTATCTCTCCAGGTCCCCCTGCTGGTGCCGTGTGGGGACCACTAGGCTGGCATGGCCAAACAACGTAGCCGCCCAGGCTCTGAGCAGGGAGTTGTAGCAGACTCTGGGACTTATAAACTTTGAGCATTTTCATCCCCCGTAAATAAATGATCCATACGAATATTCAATGATATCGACTTGGGCATGTTTATACATTTTACTGTCAAAGATCTTGTTGATGTTTTAATAAAACTGTCTCTTGGGACTTGAATAACAAGGCTTGATTCAGCACTCATGCAGCTGAATACATAATCGTGAACTTGGAGTTGGAGTGCTGATCTGGCTCTCTACTGTGTTTTTATGTATTAGGATATAAAAGCCGAAATCTTCAGCCTAAATCAGTGCACTTTATCTGAGACGTTTCATTCATACTGTCCAGCAATTTTAGGACTGAAAGAAAAAAAAACAATGCATAGAATGCATACTGGGCAATCTTTACTCTTTTACAGGGAACCTTCATGGAGACCCAGTCAGATGGTCACATCTCACCTGTTCCACCAGAGCGGTGCCTCAGCGATCCGTGGCCAGCTTTTCTGCCCTCACTGCAGGGAGGAGGCCAGCTAGGCTGAAGAGGTCACCATCCCCAAAGCTGACCCTGTTACAGCCATGCCTGCTTATCACCACAGCTGCCTTGCTAGAGACAAGAGAGACTCAGCTTCAGCAGAGTAAGTTCACAGAGTTATATGCTGTCTGCTTTGTGACTGTTTGCTCTTTATTCAGGGTATTTATATCTGACCTCACCATGATATAATTCAATGACAGTTTTTAGGAAACTGTTCAATGCATCATGAAATCTGAAATTTTACCACAATACTATTTAATATATTATTTTTGGATTGATTCAAAATTATTTCTAAAAATACACAAATGTCACTACAGTACAGTACAGTACAGTAAAATAAAGTCAATAAAACATTTCATCAAACTTCTTTGGAACTTTAATTTATTTATGCATACATCATCTATGCCGCTCATCCTTCTGGGTCGCGGAGTGTGCTGGAGACTACCCCAGCAGTCATTAGGTGGAAGGCAGGAAACACACTGGACCGGCTGCCAGTCCATCTCAGGGCTGACATACAGACAAACATTCACACCAAGTGGCAATTCAGTATCTCCACTTCGCCTGACTGCATGTCTTTGGACTGTGGGAGGAAACCCACACAGACATGAGGAGAACACGCAAACTCCATTCAGAAAGGACCCTGGTCCCCCGGCTGGGGAATCGAACGCAGTCCCTTCTTGCTGTGAGGTTCCCACTGCGCCACTATGTTGCCCCTTAATTTGTTTTACAGAAAATTTTGCCCAAAAACTGCAGCACTATGCAAAAATCAGAGATTACATTTATTTCATTCCCATTCGAAGTGGTCCTTGATTGAAATAAAAATTGTTCATTTTTTCAGGGTTAGAAAAAAAAAAATCAAAAAGCAACAAACATAACATCACTGTTCAAAAAAAGAAAAACAAGTATCTACATTTTTGCAATTTTTATTTTTCTACACCATTTAAACACAGTAGCTTCTCTTTATATTGTGTGGACATTTCATGATGAATGGACTGATACAAATTCTCCGAAAGTCCTTGAATAAAATGCCTTTATATCACTGGAGACGGCCCTGGAAGCACCGGAGGACGGGAAGTAAGCTTCCACGTCTGCTTTCTTTTCATTAAGAAACTTCACTCATATCAGTGGAAATGTAGTCCTGAAATATTTATTTCAGCCATTTGATCAATTAATCATGTGCTTCATTTTCTCACTTCGTGGCTTCTTCAAGGTAAGTAGTCAAAGGTTGCCCCCTCAGCTAAGAGAGGTGAGCTTCAGCTCTGTAATATGGGACTTCTCTGGACTGCTGTAGTGTCAGTTCCAAAGTGTGGACCATCCTGAACACAAGCAAGAAGCTGACTCATGCCCAGAAGGGCAGAAAAGCTCCTCTGCAGGTTGCTGGAGCATGCCAGTTTCTCTCATGTTGTTTTTCTTTGACCAAGGCCATGTATCTTTACTGGTTTTGCTTGATTTTAGTGTGGCATTTGAGACTATACTACTAGACAGCCTAGAAAAAACTTGTGGATTTTCTTGGTTTAGATCTTTGCTGACTGACCACTATTAGTTTGTAAAATAATTTGTAGTTGTAGTTAGTTTGTGAATCATAAAGACAGGCATAAATAAAGTATGGCGTTCCACAAGGGTCTGTTTTAAGACCTCTACTGTTTGCATCATATATGCTACAAGTTCTGTTGTTGGTAAACATGGCATCAACCTCTACTGCTGTGCTGATGCCACACAATTGTATATATCTTCTAAACCAGATAGCAAACTTCAACTTGTTTAGTGTGAAGATTGTGTAAAAGGATGTCAAGTAGCTTTTTCCTACTCAGCTTGACAAAACTGCGGTGGATCATCTTGGTCCAAAAGCTGCTAGAAAGTGATTAAATGCCTAATCCTGGTAGCTTCACAGTTGCATCAGGCACATCTGTGAAAAACCTTGGCATCTTGATCGATTCCGATCTATCTTTTGATACACATGCAAACAATATTACTACAGTAGCCTTCTTTGATGTTTGAAAGATTGCTAAATAAAAAAATCCATACAGCAGAAGTGTGGAATCCAGGTCCTGATCTACCACTCTGGAGAGTTCAGAACCAACACACCTGGCTCAAATATTCAGATGCACTCGAAGGCCTTCAAGGATCAGATGTGTTAGATCAGGGTTGGAGCTAAACTCAGCAGGGTGATAGATCTCCAGGACCAGGATTGGGCACTGCTGTCCTACAGGATGCAGGACAATTTGTTCATGCCTTTATTAACTGAAGGCTGGACTACTGTAAGGAAGTTTTTCCTTACCACTGTCGTCCTTGTTCACTGACTTGGGGTTCTCAGACCTGGATTTCTGTTTTGTATTTTCTGCTTTCTGGTATTTTTCAAGGTAGTCCTTTTAGATGAAACAAACACTCAATGGCCTCTCATGTCACATGTAACATGTCAAAAACAAATTAGGGTTAGGATTAGGTTTTGGGTTGGGGTTAAGGTCAGGGTTAGGATTAGGACCTGGGTGAGGGCTAGGTTCTGAGTAAGGTTGGGTGAAGTTAGGTTTTGCATAATGGAAGTAACATATTAACAATACACTTAATGTAAGTAATGTATCAACAGAACATCTACAAGATATTTACTTCAGTGTATTCAGATGCTTCACTACTGCTACTTCACTGATATGTTCTTGTTGTGTTACTGACAATCTGTTAAGAGTTTATTAATCATCTACAAAGGACCACTCAAAATAAAGTGTTACCCATTTTGTATATCTGCAGAGGTCAATATTGAAGAGGATATATCAAAATTCCAAGTGGATCTAAGTTACATTTAGATATAACACTTATTTGTACAGGGTTATAAATGAAGTAGAATGAACAAAATTTTAAAACTGACATTTTAGCGCAGTAGGCCAACCTCACCTAAATGTTTAAATATATCAAATATCAGTTTGAAATATGACAATATTTTTTTTTAACCCCTTACATGGACAGGGCCTGTTGGCAAGCTTAAATTTATATTACACACTTCTATAACCTAAGAATAGCTCAACCTGTTTACACTGAAGTCCCTGTAGTTACTTAGTAATCCTTAGTATGTAATAAGCCTGGAATTGTAGGAGGTTAAACAAATATCTGCTGATACAGATATGACTCTGATATCATCGTGCATCCCTGAAATAATTGCTAGATCACTCTATCGCCTGTATAATAGAGGATATAAGATAGTGACAGTGCAAGTTTTCATTATGTGAATAACTGAATGGATTGTTCTGCTATTCCATTCTTGCACTTCTTTTCACTGTAATCCCTTAAAGCCATTGGCATTATTGGAAGTGCTTGTCCTTCATATCCTTGCTAATTGTTCCTATCATTACTGTTCTTTCTGCTGTGTTCAGATGGGACCCTTCCTGTTTGAGTGTAACCATGCCTGCTCATGCTGGAGAACATGCCGGAACCGACTGCGGTTATAATGCTTTCCTCTTCCCCTCGCTTCTCAGATGCAAGCTTTTGAATGAGTCATCACCCAGCTGTGGCTATTAAGTATATTACGATGTTGTATAGGCATGTGAATGTTCTGAGTGCATTTTAATAGTTTGGTATTATAAAAGATGAAATTTTAAATGAAATTTATTCTATTAAACTCTTTTTGGAGCTTTTGAGTCATTAGGTAGGTCTTCTGGACTCCCAGAATAGGCTAAGGTGTGAGATCTCTGCAGGATATTACTGAAGGAACTTTCAGGTGCAAATATGGCCTCCTTCTCACATCCATTTAAAGCAATTACATCCATTAAAAGCAATTGTTTTTTAACCATAAGGGACTGTTTTTTTGATGTGTGATTGTATTAATGACTAAGACAGCAAGAGGTGCAGAACTGGAAACATTTAGATGCTGTTGGACTATTTAAATAGAATATACTGTGGATTTTTCATGTCCAACACCTTAAATAGTAACTATCAGAACTCTGCAGAAAGAGATTTTAATTGAACATGAAATGTAGCAGGCAAAGGGATCCGTAATGGCTATTATTAATTATTCATCCATAATAAATTTCATGCTGTTTGTGTCAAATACATTTACCCAGTGGCTTTGCTGCGTGAGCAGATTTGCTGGTGAGATCATTTCAGATGGAGAAGTGAACGTCAAGGAGAACGACTCATACATGTTCAATCTGGACAGTAAGGTAATTTTCACAGACTTTCGTGCTAATAAAATTTTAAACACTGTTCAAGTCAAGCATTGAACCTTTTGGAATACATCTGGCCAGCAGGGTGTGCTGTAGGTAGTGAAGTACCTCTCTGTTGGGTTATGTTTTTTCTGGACTGAATGATTTTAATCTTTGTTTTGTAGGTTGATGAGGTCTGCGGCATTGATGCCCAGTTCTACAGCAATGTCAGCAGGTTTATGAACCACCTGTGTAAACCCAATCTGTTCCCGTGCGAGTGTTCACCAAGCACGGGGATCTGTGCTTCCCACGTGTTGTTCTCTTCTCCAGAAAAGCCATAGGCTGGAGAGGGGTTTGGGTAAGGCCCTTCTTCAGGGAAGAAGATCTGTTCATAAATCAATGAATCAGTCAGTCCATCCATCATTTTTAGCCATCCATCAGTCCATCAGCTCATTTCTTTCATCCATTCATCATACCATCCATCAATTCAGCCCTCCATTCTGGTTACTTACTGTCAATGAAAAGAAACTTTTAACAGGGAACAAAAGCTAAAAAAAAAAAAGAAAATTTTTTTTCCCCCACAAAATAGGAAAACAGGAGCAAAAGTCAGCTTCTAGGGTGCATCATAGCATTATTTATGGTGAAGAAATATTCTCAGCATTCCAAAATTTCTCTATTCATAACTTGGATTACAACCATGTAGACAGGCTACATTACTACTACATACACAAATGTTAGACAATTTTTGTGAATGTTGCAAAACTGCAACCATGGTTCTCATTAGCCACTACTTTTTACACATTTGTTTGTGGAAACTGTTATAGACAGTGGGTCTAAGAACAGTCTTGCGGACCCCCTGACTCATAGAACATCTAATTCCTGCCTCAACATATCTGATTCAGTTCATTTCTTTCATGCAGACTAGCATATAAATTCATTCCACAGTTTAAAAATATCATACTGTTTATGGTCTAAAAACAATTTTAAATAGGAAAAAAATAAAAAAAAGCATGAAAATGCATCAACAGAATTAATACTGAAGGTTTACCTTTTACTGAATAAATGAAAAGTCACCAATTCTGTGTTACTTTAGTGGGCCTAGTATATGCATTGTCTGCTGTATTGGTTATCAACTATTCCTTTATTTTGATCATTCAGAATGAATCAAAATGTTTTGTAATCTATAATTCTATTAAAGTTAACATGGAATAACTCTATTAATCAAATTAAGTAACTACATTAAATCATTGTTTGTTTAGAGTTTTCATTTCTGTTTCCTGTAATGTTTCTAATCCCAGCTTATTGTTTTTTCCCCAGATTGGGAGATCAAGAGGAAGTATTTCAACTGTCAGTGTGGTGCAGGCTCTCGAAGGCTGTCTTGGGCCACAGCCATGTAAACAGCTCAGTCCAAACGCCCACTGTCCAGTCCTCAGCTCAGGTAGCCAGCACTGAGCGCATTCACTCGGCCGGCACTGCCAGAGCAGTAACCCAACCCTGAGGTCTGCCTCGAGAATAACTACAGTAGACTGCAGCCATGAACTGTTTTAGGTGCGACTATATGATCATGTTTTTTTGACAGTGATCGATCATGTCAACATACTGTTTATTTAACATCATTAAAAAAGACATTTTATACAAATGCACACATTAGATTATTGTGTTTTAAAGCAGTAGAAAACATTTTACAGCATATTAAAATTTAATTTTCAATTTGGGTGAAATGATATCACAAAATTGTTTGGCTTTAGGACAATGGAAAGATTCTCACTGGGGAAAAAGAGGTATTATTTATAGCATGCCACCTATCTACTACACCTAATCAGTGATATGTTTGAGCAGCTGAGGCTTGGACAGATGTTCAGTTAATGATCTGAACTAAGCTAAGTTTAGGAAAAAGCTGTTGAGGTGCTGTTCAGATTTTCACACTTTTTGAAGAGGTTTTTAAATATATATTTTCCAATCATGCCTCTCGATGCTGTTAGCAATAATGATGACCATGTGAGGAATAAAGGTTTTTTTGTATACGGTTTTATTGTATATACTGGGTTATCAGGACTGAAGTTTCCATTTCAGTGTTCCTGTCATCCTCAAGTGCAGAGCAGCCTGGATACATTATTCATATTTAACACATTCATATTTAACTCCTCATCTCCTCATCTTAGAACTGCTTGAAGCAGCAGGTACAGGCCTATTTTCGGGTTATGTCTCTTAACAAATGAGCTTCCGGAGTATGTGCCCCGGTTAACTGTCCAGCTACTTTGGATCACAGCATAGAAAATGATGAGTATGTTCTAGTGGCGTCATAGTTGTCACAATGAATAACTAATAGCACTAATTTTTTAACACAATGCATTTTCCTAGTTTGAACCTTCAAACCATCCATAGTTACAGCCCAAAGCCCATCTGCTTGCACACTGTTACTATGACCCCACGACTGTAGTCCTCTCGTTCTAATACAGCTTTTAAATGGCAAGTTCCATTGATGGCCCTCCAAAAGCAGGGGTGGATCTAAGGGGTGTCAAAGGGTGGCAGCTGCTACCCCCTCCATAGTGCTTTCCACCCTAGTTCTGCAGCCCTTAAAAATGTGATGCAAAATTGCATTAAGCACAATGTGTCTAAACTCTCAAAACTCTTAAAATGTATGAGAACATTATTTAAAAATACCCTAAACCTGTTTTTGATGCTGTGTCAGATTCTAGTTTAGGCACCCTACTACAAAAGCTATGCATAAATTCATTGAAAGTCATTAAAAGAAGGAAATAAATGGCCCATAAACAATTTTCATGCCCGCTGTGGCAGTATGCTTTATGTTTGTTGGTTGGGCTCTGCTGTTTTTTCCTCGACAACTTCGCTGTCTGATTTGAACTTAGTCATGTCATGAGAGAGAGGACTACACTCACAGAGTTGGAACCATTGATTCACTCATTGGCTGGAAAGTGCACCCACTGTTTTCATTGGATGTCAGTGATAAAAAAGGATTAGAGAATTAGAACGTTTATGTTCAGCATTGACATTATGAAAATAATGCATAAATTATTGAAAGTAAAAATACATTCTGATGATGTATTAAAATGGACAAAATCTCACTTTAGGGTCAAAACTGGGCAAATAAGACAAATGTGGTTAGTCATGATTAACTACACGAAAGAATGCAACTAATTGTTACCAATTATTTCGATCATTTGGCAGCCCTAGTATGAATCTTTTTCCAAACAGAAAATAAAAGATGTAGGGATGCACTGATATTGGGCTAGTGCCAGTATGCATCATTTTTCATGTACATATGTTGATGTTGATTTTTTAAGTGTTTAGTCATTTGCAGCACGGTGGCACCCTGGGTAGCTCTGTTGTCTCACAGCTAGAAAGGCCTGGGTTTGATTCCCTGGCCAGGCAACCAGGGTCCTTTCTTTATGAAGTTCATGTTCTCCCCATCTGGGTTTCCTCCAGGCCAACTGGATACGCTAAACTGTGTGTGATTGTATATGTCTGCGTGTTTACCCTGCGATGGAGTGGTGACCCCCAGCACCCTCCGTGACCCAAAAGGATAAGTGGCTTAGATAACTAGTGTGTATGTTTAGGCATGCTGTAGTGTCCCAAATGCATGATATAACATGCAACATTACATCCTGAGAAGAGGCTTGAAGTTCCACCAAACTCATCTCACCATTCCTCATCAATAAACATGAGCTTCACAAAAGGAGGTTGCTGGTGCTGAGTCAATGTTCCTTACACATTAAAACTTGGTGCTGCTGTGTTTAGACGTTTTCAATCAATGCTTGGCCCTGTGCACTGCCCCCGACTGCTTTAAGTCCTCTATTGTACTGCTTCCAAAAAGGGACAAAATAACCTGGAACAATGAAGTCTGATCTATTGCACATTCACCAGCGCTAATGAAAATATTTGAACGACTAACCTTTCTCTAACCGTAATACATATAGCGTGGTAGAATAATACAGTTTGGACAGCAACAGTCACAATATCATGGTCTTATTATGGTTTTTATCACAGTGGATTTCTACTGGGGTTAAAGTGCTGGGAATCAGATCATATTACATTTAGAAATATAGAACATTTTGAAACCTTCATTGTACTGATTTTCCATAGCATTCATACTCTGATGCTGTCAGAAGCCAAATGATCAATGAAGATAACTGTGCCAGTTAAAGGATCATTAGAGCCCTTGATAATGTCCTAAATTAAGGGCTCGGAGCAGCAACTCTCCCTCCTACATGTTCTACTGATGAGCTGATGTTTTACTGTAGCATGTAATTTTGTACTGTTTTGTACTGTACTTTTTTCCTTTGTCATACAGGAAGTAGCTTTTTGGCTTATGCAACGTGAGGACCTACTTTAGTCATGTTGATACATTAGAGGGGCTCTGAAATTAGATGACTAAGCACACAAATGATCCAGGTGCAAATAAAGCACTCAGTTAACACTTTAAAGGGCCTATATCCCCCTGTAATTCTTGTACTTTTAGGTTCACTTGTAATGGCTTGTTTTATTTACTCATGACCATTTTCCTACCTCACTTTAGCCCTTATATGTAAACAGACTGTTTTTTGTTACTGTGCCTTTGAGATAGATATATACTATATGGAGAAAAGTATTGGGACACCTACACATTACACCCACAAGAACTTTAATGGCATCCCATTCTAAATCCATTGGCACTAATGTGGAGTTGGTCCCCCACTTTGCAGCTATAACAGATTCCACTTTTCTGGGAAGGCTTTCTACAAGATTTTGGAGTGTGTCCAGAAGAGCATTTGTGAGGCACTGATGTTAGACGCGAGAGCCTGGCTCGCAATCTCTGTTCTGGTTCATCCCAAAGGTGTTTGATGGGGTTGAGGCTCTGAGTGGGCCAGTGAAGTTCTTTCCACACCAAACTCACCCAACTATGCCTTTATGAGCCTTGCTTTGTGCATTTACAACAATTTTGGATATAATTATTGTACATATATATGTATATATATATATATATATATATATATATATATATAAATACATAAAAGAATGACAGCTGGTGTATAATGAAAAACATATTTTCATTTCTTCAATCAAGTTGGTATTAATCGTTATATAGCATTGACATATCTTACATGTGTAAAGAAAATTCTCAACAATGTCTAGTATGGAAAAAAAAAGAAAATTCTTGAAAGTGGTCTGTACCTATATATAAAACTATATATGCGTGTTGTGACTGTGATGGTAGAAAAACTATACATACATCAATTGGACACTTCATTTAGCACAGCTCCCTGTTTCTACACTCTGTCTATTTAATTAGCTCCACTTACAATATAGGAGCACTTAGTAGTTCTACAATTACAGACTGTAGTCCATCTGTTTCTCTGTATACTTAGCCCCCTTTCACCCTATTCTTCATTGGTCAGGACCCCTACAGGACCACCACAGAGCAGGTATTATTTGGGTGGTGGATTATTCTCAGCACTGCACTGATGCTGAGGTGGTGGTGGTGTGTTAGTGTGTGTTGTGCTGGTACAAGTGGATCAGACACAGCAGTGCTGCTGGAGTTTTTAAACACTGTGTCCACTCACTGTCCACTCTATTAGACACACTTGCTTTTTGGTCCACCTTGTAGATAAAGTCTGAGACAGTAGCTCATCTGTTGCTGCACAGTTTGTCATTCTCCAGTCCTTCATCAGTGGTCTCAGGACGCTGCCCACAGGACGCTGTTGGCTGGATATTTTTGGTTGGTGGGCTATTCTCAGTCCAGCAGTGAGACTGAGGTGTTTAAAAACTCCTGTATCTGATCCACACGCACCAGTGCAACACACACTAACACGCCACCACCACGTCAGAGTCACTGCAGTGCTGAGAATGATCCACCACCCAAATAATACCTGCCATCACGTTCATTGGGCGGATAAATAAATCCTGATTCTCCCTGCACAAGTTGTTTAAGCGCTGCGTATGACATTGTTGAATATTTCAGAAGCTCTGCAGATCAACTCGTGCTCAGCCTACACACTGTTAATTTTAATGCCCCAGTGGCTACTAAGGCACACACGGCACGGTCCGGCACCGAGCTCGCGCATCAGCAGGCACTGATGCTGATTTACTCCCTTTTGCCCCCTCGTGCCATGGATACTGGGACGGGGCAGGTGGGGCCTCTGCATCACGTGACGCGTGACGTGGCCCGATTCAGAAGGAGCAGCGGCTGCTGCTGCAGGAAACGGGCTCGCGCTCCCATCGCCAGCGGACTGCCTACACAAGTGCCAACCGCGCCTGTTTCGTTTTCCTCTCCCTTTTAAACGATCCCAGCTCGCGCAGACTGCAGTGATGGGACGTTACTGTCTTTCAGAGAGAAGATAGGAGACGGAGGATTTGGAGGTGAAGAAATCCCCCACACCCACCACCACCACCCCCAAAGCATCTGCAACAGCATCGAGACGGGATCTTAAAGGGGGGAAAACTTGACTCAGCTGCAACACAATTTCTGAGGCGTTATTTCCCGCTATACGGGAGATGAACGCAGCTGGCACGAGGCGCCTCTCTATGGAAAGGATTGTGTAACATGGGCAGGTAAACTTCAGGCTGGGATGACACTGCTTGAATGGAGGTAACTGAAAACATGTGTTTAGTCCCCTTTCTGGCCATAATCGTTTAAGATTTGCTGTAAAAAAAAAACAAAAAACCTATTTTTCACCCCCTCGCGCGCTGTGCTTGGTGAACGTGCTGCTGGATGGGATGCACGCTCCGTACGGATGAAGCCTCGTGGCCGGGAGCACCTCGCGCGTTGTGATGCTTCTTCTCCCTGCCCTGTCTCCTGCCCAGCCTGATTTCCGAGCTCCAATCCGTGCGTTTCCAGAATGGCCCGCTTCGAAGACGACCTGCCGGCCCGCTATGGAGGGACAGGCTCTCCGTCTTCGGGTCCGGGGAGAGGCGCGAGCCGGCAGCCAGGCCCCCCGGGAGCCCAGCGGATGTACAAACAGACAATGGCCCAGAGAGCCCGCACAATGGCCATCTACAACCCCATACCCGTCAAACAGAACTGCCTCACCGTTAACCGCTCTCTCTTCATCTTCAGCGAGGATAACGTGATTCGGAAGTATGCAAAGAAAATAACCGAGTGGCCATATCCTTTACTCACGCGCTCTTCCCTCACCAGCACCTACACAGGTGACTCTGTATGACAAAGCACATTGTGTTTGTGAGAAGGTGCCGGACTTTCCAGCTGAGACGAGGCTGTGTTACAGGTTTCTGTTTCAGGAGACGAGGGGCTGTTTATGATGGAGATGATGGTGTTTCATGGTTGGAGAGTTAGTTTGGAGTCAGACGTAGAAAGGAACACGTAAGCAGCGCTAAGGAAGCCAACAGGCTCTAACTGGGGTGTTGGCTCACGCGCTCTAAACAAACAGCAACAGAAGGCGCGAGCAGAATAGCGGGTGTAGAATAGGTGGAGTAAGAAGGGAGAATAGAACTGGGTAGCTGAATTGGGGAGGTGGAAAGAGGGAAGTAGAAGGAAATAAGGCAGTAGAATTGGGGTAGTAGAACAAGAGTAGAAGAAAAAAGGATTGAATTAAGAGAGTGGAACAGAGATAGTTGAAAAGGGGATAATAAAGCATAGTGCAATGTGGGGAGCAGAATAGGGGTAAAAGAATTAGACTAGTAGAATTGGGGTAGGAGGATAAGGGGTAGTAGAAGAATGAGAAGAGATAGAACAGGGTGATAGAAAGGGGTAATAGAACTGGGTTAGTAGAATTAGGGTAGGAGGATAAGGGGTTGTAGTAGAATGAGGAGAGATAGGACAGGGGTAGTAGAAAGGGGTAATAGCACTGGGATAATAGAATTTGGGGTAGGAGATTAGGGGGTAGAGATAGAATAGGGGTAGTAGGAGTTAGAATGAGGGGAGTGGAATTGAGGTAGAAGAAGGTGGGTAGTAGAATGATGCAGTATACTTGGAGTAGTAGCCCAGAATATGGGCAGTACATAGAAATTAGATAGAATTGCGAACAGAAGGGGTAGTCAAAGAGGAGTGGTAGAAAAAAAAGTGGTAGAATAGAGGTAGTAGAATGGGAAAATAGAATTGAATTAGTAGAATATTGGGAGTAGAATTGAGGTAGGGCATTAGAAAAAGGGGAGTGGAACTGGGATTAAAGAAAGTGGGTAGTAGAATGAGGCAGTACACTTGGGATAGTAGCCTAAGATGTGGCAGCAGAATAGGGTTAGTAAAAGGAAGGTAGTAGAATAAAGAAAAAGGCAGTAGAATAGGGGCGGCACACTTCAAGTAGTAAACTAATGTAACAGAAAAATGAGGAGTAGATAAGAGGAAGTGTAGGAGGGGGTAGCTGAGAAGAAGTGGTAGAACGAGGGCAGTAGAATGGGGTAGTAGATTAAGGTTAGTAGAGTAGGAGTAGTAGAATAATGACAATAGAATAGAGGAAATACCCTAGAATGTGGGGATCAGAATGAAAGTAGGTGGGGGGGGGGCAGAAGGGGATAGATAAGTAGGAGTGGTAGAATGGGGGTAGTAGGAAGGAAGGTAGTAGAAAGCTAAATAGGGGCAGTTCTCTTGGGAAAATAGAATAAAGGAAGTAGATTGGGGGAGAAGCAAGGTGAGAGAATCAGAAAAGATGTCAAATTAGGGTAATAAAATAAGCTTGTAGAAGTGGAGTGGTAGAAAAGAGATGGGGCAGAATGATGGTATCAGAATGAGGGTAGGTACAACGGGGTAATGGAATGAAGTAGTGGATGGGCAGTGGAATGAAGGCAATAGAACAGGGCTAGTAGAAGAGAGCAGAAGGATACATAGTACCAGGTGGAGAGTGGATAAGGGCTGTAGAATTGGGGAATAAATGAGGATAGTATAAAGAAGTAGAATCAGGGTAATAGAAGGAGGTGGTACAATGGATTTGGCCGAAGAGTGTAGCAGAAGGGTGTAACAGAAGGGTTTAGTGGCCCGTCTCCTTGGACAAAGCACAAATCTCAGATATTGAACGCTGCTTGTAGTGCATATTCATATCCATGAGTGCTTTAGTGTAACAGGCTTTGGCACTGTGTAGCCTCGGTCTCCTCTCACAGTGCTACACTGGGCTTGTGCTTTCTGGGCTCTTTTCCACTCCAAAGCCAATGCAGTATTGATCCTGTGGAATCAGCCGAGCCTCCCAGTCGCTCCTAGCAACCAAAACACTTCTTGCATTAGGCCGCCCAAATTAGTGTGCAGACTCGCCCGTGGGAATAGCAGTAATAAGCGCCTAAAATGCAGCTGTTCACTGCATGAAGAAATTGCTACTACTTTTCGTGGCCATAAAAGACATTTAGGGAGAGCTCCCCAGTCTGCAAGATTTTTTACACAGTAAAGTAGACTTGCAATCAGAGGATCGAAGTCTAAACACATTCACCTAAGAAATCTGTGTATTCCTTTGATTGATTTCACTTATACATTTAAAAAATTGTTAAAGATTATTCACAATCATGCCTTATATAATCTTCTTGAATCAGTTTCCAGTACAGCAGCAGTAAGGCTGGTGAAGATCTGTGCTCTCTCCAAGGTGCTGAAGCCACCCACACGCATTAAACTCGCTACAGGCGCGCAATGGCAAAAGCAGCGAGGAAGTGGGGATTGCCCAGTAAACCAAACATGGCAGTCTTTGCAGCGTGGGTGGCTCTCCACACGAGCGCGAGCAGGTTGATTCCTGTAGTGCTCTCGCTCACGCTCAAGAAACTCGATCAGAATGTAATTACCACCTATCAGTCTGCACTGGAAAAAAGTGATGCACTGACTTTACATGACTCAAATCTGTACACAATTTTCATGTGCATAGAATATATCCGCATTATGCTGAAAAGTAAGTTAACAGACAGAATTGTGTTAAATATATTTTAGTCTTTCAGAAGTTCAATGCATCGTTTCACTGTTTTAGAAAATTTACAAATAACATAAAAACATATAATAACATGAATAATATGTCCAAAAGTTTGTAGACACCTGCTCATCCAACATGTCTTCTGAAATCAATAACATTAATAGGGAGTTTATCCCTTCTTTGCTGCAGTAACAGCCTCTAGTTTTCTGGGAAGGCTTTACATTATATGATGGAACATTGCTGTGAGGATTTTATTATTCTGCCACAGGAGCATTAGTGATGCCAGGTACTGATGTTGGATGATTAGTTCTGGATCAGCACTGCTCCAACCCAACCCAGAAGTATTGGATGGAGCTCCACTGCTCCAGAGAATGCAGTTCCACTGCTCTACAGCCCAATGCTCAGTGGCTTCTTGCATCCCTTTCTTTTGGCATTGCTTTTCTGAGGATTCTATTGATATACAAGCTATAGCAATAGGTGCTCCTTACAGTAGCTGAAAGCACTAATTAGAAGGGGGGGTCTGGATATTTTTGAAGATATACTGCACAATAATGATATTATTTATAATTTAACTGGCTTTTTTGCCACTTTCAGACAACAGAGGTGTCTTCATGTAGGACTCAAGCAGATACTTAATCCTTAAGCGTATTGATTTTTTTGAACTGGCCTTTATAGCCAGAGGGCTCCACTGTGTTAAACGCTGTCAAGCTCCTCTGCTCTGACGTACATGTCCTGATTAGTGCCACGGTAAATAAGAAAGATGCAGGCACCACTTTTAGCTTGTCTGGTCTGTGTGAGGGTTCGCCTTTTCTGCAGTGCTACCATTGCACCATTAACACAGCCACATCCCAGTTTTACTGCATCTGCAAACTGGGCAATTAAGGCTGTGAGACAGCCATGTGCTTCTAATACCTCTGTGATCATGGCCGTGACTCTACAACACGTGAGTGATGTTTGAAGACATAGAAGGTCTAGCATATCTTTAGAAACGCAGTAGGCGTCCACAGCTCAAGTTCATCATAATAACCATAACGGTGATTCATAATGGCCGTAATGTTCATTATAAGCCTCTTAGTGTCCCTAGACTCCTGAACAGAACTGCACTGCTGATGAACTGGGTCATTTTTTAAAATCGTCGCTGTCATATCAAAACCTTGTAACTATTGTGTAGGTTTTATAAGGCTTTTTATTTTTTAGGTTTTATTATTTTTTTGAAAATGTCAGCTGCCCTTTTTCCTTTTTTGTTTAAACATTTTATATTGAATCTACCAGTTGAAATGGTCCAAAAAGGCTTGAAATACATTCTAGAATACTAAGACAAAGATTTCAGCTGATGTTTAATTGCCATATAAATAATTACAAATAAAGCAGAAGCCTAAAGTGGCCATATTGGGTTGTTAACTATCTTGCTTCCTAGCTGTAAATACTCAGTAGCTCTCAACCGATGAAAGAAGCAGCTTGAGTTCAAATAAACAAACATTACTCACCTCTGCCCTATAAAAGTGTTCTAGCACCAGATATATGTAAGAACTTTTGTTGATTTGGTAAGGCCCACAGTGTGTCTCAGAAAATATGTTAATTATTTCAGCTTATTTGATGGCAAGGCAACCAAACTAAATTGAGTTTGTTGTGAAGTAAACATAAAATAAACATAAAAGCTAATAACTTTGGAAAATAACTGAAATAATAGTGATCGGGTAGTTACCTTACCTTGTTACCTTAATGTATATTAACATTAGGACAGTTTTTCCTTCACATATAATGTTACTATATGGTTTTGTTCTGACAGCTTGTTTGCAGAGAGTACATAATACAAATAAAGGTTCCTAAATGTTTTCTAGAACTTTGATTGTTATAGATTGCTATATTGGCATCATTCCCAATGAGCCCTTTTCGGCATCTTTGTTTTTAAAAAAATGTTTTCATTTTATGTGTTCTTGCCTTGACTGTCTCACTCCATTTGAGTACATGATCCTCGCTACCATCATAGCAAACTGCATTGTCCTGGCCTTGGAGCAGCATTTACCTGCAGGCGACATGACTCCAATGTCACAGCGACTGGTGAGTACCTTATAACTGAACAGTGTGCCTGGCCATAGTTACATGTCATGCTCTAGTTCATATGTAAATCTGCTACTTTTATTAACTGACAGTCTTTTTTTATAGGTTATTCCATATAAAGATCTTCCTATGCAAGCTTTACAGAACATGTGCAAAAATCCAGTGGTGAACCATGACTATTTAAGATAGGCCTTCAGTTTGGCCATAAATATAAAGATATTTTCCTCAGTTGTATCAATAAAGAAATTGGTACAAATGAGGAAAAAACCCTGTGATACTGCTAATTTCTGCTAGTGCCCTATGGGATGCTAATGGTATGTTAGCTCATTAACATTTTTTTGGCTGTTCTAGGTTAAACATGGACGTTTAAAGCTTGTGAAAGATGTTTTATTTGAAGTTTGTAACAGATTTAACACACATATTTTACCTTTAGTTGTCTTACAATGGCTCAGTAAAGAGTCCTGGCATAAAGCTGCTGTTGTTTTATATTTCTAACATCTGACAGAAACGCATTGGTCAGGCTACCACCTGTACTGTGAGTTATGTATCTAGGACTCAGCAGCTAACTGCCAGGTTTATGTGGTGTGTTAAGAGCAGGAAGATCACCAAACTCTGCTGGACACCTGCATTCCAGGTGTGAAGTTATAACCAATGGGAGAGCTCACTTTGATAAATCTACTTAGATACCATGAGGAAGAAAATCCTGATTGGATCATTTGAACTACAATATTTGCAGAGATCAATATAAGCATGATGATACTATTAAATAAAAAAGAACTAAAAATTACAAACGTAAATCATCACAAATCATTAGGCCTTCCCTGAAGGCCTACAAGGCCCTGAGGGTTCTCGGCTGCAAAAATCCCTTTTAGCATAATAAGAAATGCTCATGTACATCAGATTGCAGTTAAAATATCTAAATTTAGGTATTTTGACAAAATTAAGTTGCTTGATACATTTTTGCCCGTATTCTGTAGAGCTTGTCCAACCTAGCATCTATGAAACTATGAAAGAACGCTTTTGTAGGTGGAGCATGGACAGGTCAGCTGCTATGAAAGGAAAAGCACAATACAAACAAAACCAAATACAAAAAGAAGTTGCCTGGATGAATAGTAGAATCCGCCGTTATGAGAAGCAGCTCAGCACATTTGGGGGGGAGGCAGTGAGTGGTCGGCAGCTGGGAGGATTTCCTCATTCCTGCTTTGTAAACCAACCAGCATCACACTGTGCCACTCTTTTATCCACCCATCACTCAATCCTGGTATTTAAAACCGTGTCTTCAGATTTGCCTTTTGAACTCTGTTGCTACATGGCATCATTAAAAGTGTAGGCACTCAGGGCCATGTTTGCTCATGTGGGGATCTGGGGGTTCCAAAAGCAAGGGTCTGTATAAAAATGAGATGTCACTCATTCAGCCCATGAATCTCCCTGCTGCCTTCTTGAATTGATCCACTCACTCAGCTAGCCGTGTGCTGCGCTTGACACATTGACATCAAATAAGGGAGAGGATATTAAATTTAACTTTGTCTTTCTGGGTGGAATTACATGGCATGTCTGTCAAGACAATCCAATTTCAGATCAGAAACTTATTAAAGTGCCTATATCATGGAAAAGGAAAATTTTTGTTCCACTTTTTTGAAATAAAGAGTTGTAGTATGTAGTGTGATGTAGTATGTGAACAGTGCTAAAGGTTAACCCTTCACTTCCAGTCCATATGTGGAAACTAAGCTGCAAAAGCTGGCCGTTTTGAATTCATTGCTTTTATGATGTCACAAAAACCGACACATTTGTCTATATCCACCCATCTAGACTACATCAGTGTAGCCCCACCCATTCATGTTCAAGTTAAAAGGAGTGTTGCAGCCCTGAATCTTTGAATTAGGCACAGTACAGCACAGCCAATCAGAACAAAGGTCATTTACATATGTCAGTCTTAAAGGCGCAGTAACAAAAACAGCCTGTTTAATTCTGAGTGATAAAGAGAGGTTGGAAAGTGATGCTGTAAAAGATAATAAAAGGGTATTTTTTCCCCGCAGGATGACACAGAGCCGTACTTCATTGGCATCTTTTGCTTCGAGGCTGGAATTAAGATCATCGCTCTTGGCTTTGCTTTTCATAAAGGCTCCTACCTCCGTAATGGGTGGAATGTAATGGATTTCGTCGTCGTGTTGACGGGGTGAGTCTGCAGATTATGATAATGGTGTCCACACAGCACTGTGCTCATTTTCATGAGAAGATCGGTTTGTATTGTGGATGAATGGGCGTTGTTGGATATGCTGGAACTGCGAATGTGCATGCCTGTGCTTCATTAAGATCTTAGAAATATCAAGTGCAAATTTTCTTGCACCCTTTACACTCTCTGAACTCCTGTGCTCACTACTCCTTATACGCTAACTAAAAAGACTGAGAAGAATTTGTAGAAATATAGTCATCATCTCAGATTGATGCTGCTCTTGCTCATAAAATGTTCTGGGGAGAAGGAGTGTATTGTTACTGTCGTAAGAAATCCTTGTAATGCTATTTTTTGTCCAGTCTTTAATTTGTTTTATATCCTTTGAAAGCACCAGCTGCCCCTCTCGTGAACAATTTGTGGCAAATAGACCAATACAAATTCTAAAAGAGAGAGAGTGAGAAACACAGAGAAGAGAAAGCAAAATGGGAAGAAAAAGAGAGAGCAGAGAGAGAGAATGGGAAGAAGAGAGAGAGAAAGAGAGAGAGATGGTAAGACAGAATGGTAATAAAGAGTAAAAGAAAAAGGGACAAAATAGGAAGAGTAAGAGAGGAAGAGAGAGATAGAGGGAGAGATAGAGGGGAGAGAGAGAATGAAAGAATGGAAAAAAGAAAAAATTGAGACATAGAATTGAAGAGAATTAGTAAAAGAAAGAAGACAGAGAAGGAACTGTAAAAAAGAAAAGGAAAGAGAGAGGATGGTAAACAAGTGAGATGGGAAGACAGGAAAGAGTGATCAGAAGAGAGAGACAGAATTAGAAGAAAAAGAGAGCAGACAGAGATGGTATAATAAAATGGGAAATAAGAAAGAAGAGAGAGATGGTATGATAGAATGGGAAATAACAGAGAAGAGAGACAAAGAAAAAGAATGGGAAGAAAGAGGGAGAGAGAGACAGAGAGACAAAATGGAAAGAAATAGAGGGAGAGAGAGACAGAATGGAAAGAAAGAGAAGGAAGAAGACAGAATGGGAAGAAAGAAAGAGGGAGAGAGAAACAGGGACAGAATGAGAAAAAAAGGGGAGAGGGAGAGAGGGAGAGAGAGACAGGAGAATGAAAACATGGGGAGAGAGACAGGCATTACTGTGTATATGAAGTTGGAGCTGAAACTGAGAGAGTTGAGAAGCAAACAGCAAAAACAGAAAAATCATGTTTTAAAGTTACATTAACAGATATTTAAGTTAGGCATGTTTTTTCTTTCTCCTGTGAAATGCTTGTTTCAGAGATAGGACGTTTTCTTACAGCAGCGGAGGTTTGTGAGGAGGAGTAATGGATCAGTCAGTGTTTGTACACAGAGGCCAGTGCTGCTGGTTGTATGAGCTGTTCTGCTAGCTGACACAGCCCGGGGAGGTGGAGGTGTCCTGGGGGACGGAGCGGTGACGGGGTGCTGTTGCGTCGGAGCAGCTCCCTGTATGGTTACTGCCTCCGCTGGGGAGGGTCCTGGCTCACTTTCACTAATGGCTGGGAGATTTACTTTACCCATCCACCGGGGCTTACGTCAGCCCGCCACCTCATTGCAATAAACAGATTTAGGGGAAGCAGCTCTCTTCCTGCAGCGGAAAAGGCCTGCACACAGAGCTGCAGGATACAGAGTCTTTTCTCTCTGCAGCCTCTGCCAGTAAAGGGAAGCTAGAGTAATGTATTATGTAGCAGCAGTTGCAGAGCAAGATGGAATGAGTCAAAGATGTACAGTGGAGGATGATGAGGCAAAATAATAAAAGAAATGAAAAATATGCACGCACATATTTCATTTAACCCTTAAACGTTCCAGTTATCACTGGCAATACAAGACATGGAGTAGTTTAGTACCCATTATTTCTAATTTGTAATGAGCCAAGAAAATCTGCACAAAGTGCAAAGTTTAAACATTTAGTCCATACCATGTTTGTGCATATAAGTAGAAAATAAAATATTTCATAATAGAATTATTATTGTTATATTGTAATAATATAATTGAATCTGATGAAAAATTGTGCGTAAGTTGTGCGTATAAGTTTGTTTTGTGGAAAGAAAATGTTTTTGCTACATTTCTTGAAAGAAAAGTTTGATGTAGTGTGTAAACATTGTTTAAAGTGTTCACTCCCTGGTCCATACAGTCCATATATGGAAACTGAGCTGTTAAAACGGCCCATTTTGAATTCAATGTTTCTGTGATGTCATAAAACACCAACTAATTGCCATATATCCATCTATTCAGCCTACAGCACTTGAGCCCCACCCATTTACACTGATGCTATAATGAGTGTTTCAGCTGTGAGTGTTTTTTCTGAGTGAGGAACAGTACAGGACATCCAATCAGAACAGAGGCCCTTTAATATATATCAGCCTTAAATGCAGAGTAACAAAAACAGCATGTATAATTGTCAGTGGGCTTAAGTGGATGTGGGTGTGTCCTATCAGAGTAAAGTAAGCAAAGAAGGAGAGGGGCCTATGCTATAGCTCATTTGCACTGTTTTATAGGATCAGTAGCCACATTTACTTGCAGCCTAATAATCCAATAATAATTTGACTAATAGCTCAATAGGAATAAAATACGTCCGTGTACACACCTCAGTCGGAATAGACTAATCTATATAGCTGACTTTTTTAACATAAAATATCAATATTTAATTAATACAGTACTTTTTTTGTGTAAAGTGGCAATAAAGTTTAAAGAACAGCAATTAAAGAAAATTAAGATTTTTTTAATTTAGGGAAGAGAAGGATAGGCATCACTTTTCAGTACCATTACTGCTCAGTAAGAGTATTAATTTTAAAACTGAGACAGTAGCATAGATAAAATTGAAAGAATAAATATAAAAGAAAAGATAGAACTTTATTTAAAAGATAATTAAAGGAGTACACTCTCAAATGATTCTTAGAAATGGCCCATAAAAGGTGGTATTAAGTTCCACACTTTAGAAGCTTTGTAACAGAAGGAGGCCTCTTTACTTTTTCTATATTTGCAGAAGGCCAGTATCTGCAGAGGTAATATCATGTAAGAATGTAAACTGACGGATATTCACTGAGGTATGTACTTGCTGGTCATTCAGAGGTTTAAAAACAAGTGAAAGAAGTTTAAAATGTATTCTAACAGATACACATAACCAGCGCAGTTCTTTTAAACACATGGGTGGTATGTGGTTTATGGTATGTGCTCTCATTTAATGTTTCTGTGCTACTAGGTAACCAGTCTGAATACATCAGACAAAACCCCACAGCGCCAAAGACTCAAATGTTGAACTTCTAGAATGTTGAACATCTAATACCCTGAAAATGAAACATTACCATATTAATAGGAAGCATATTTCAAGGCACATCTCATTCTTCTCGTCAAAAAGTATATTCAGTCATGACACCACCATTTCATATTAAACCAATATGTATATTGTGAATTGTTACACCCCTAGAAAAAATGTGTATTACATCTGAATAGTATATCAAAATGATTTTTAAGGGTTAAGGCATGCTGAGTACAGTGTAGTAATGGCTTAAGGTTGCCAGGCACTTCCTCTCTCCTGGGTGATTTAGGGCTGTTGTTTGGGCGAGGTCAGCCTTATTGACAGCTTGTCAGGCGTTTTGCAGTGGGCTGTCAGCCTGCTTTGCCTGATACTGGGTGGCGTGGTGACTGGCTGGTTGCGAGTGTCGGGCCTCTTGATTTAATCGAGGCGGCCTGATGTGATAACTGCAGTGGGGGCTACAGTGGAGGTCCATTACAGAAGCCGTCCACTCCTGTTATCAGTGACCCGCTACAGGCAGTGATTTAGCTATGCTACCAGCATCCTGATGACTGGGACCATGGAGGGGCGGGGGGACGCATGCGGTGTAAAACGCTGCCTTGTTTCCTGTCCACTACCTTCAGGATGGATGATGGCCCCATCACTGTGATAATTGTGCTGTTGACTTGTTGTCGATAGGAGCGCTGGGAATGCTGTAGTGTTGTTTCCCTGAAGGCTGGGATTGAATGGAAATGGATGAGGACAGTACGACAGCATGAGAGCTGTTTGATGCTGATTTAGGGTTGTGGTCATGAACATCTGCTAACTTTCATCCCCTTAAAACCCCAGGCTTATTACATACTAAGGCCAATTATTCAGTAACTACATGGACTTTATCAAACTAGTTGAGCTATTCTTAGCTTACAGAAGTATGTAATAAACCTTTAGGCCCGCCAGCAGGGGCCTGGCCGTTTAAGGGGTTAAACTAGCAAAGAATTTTTATTGTAGTTAACTGACAGGTCCTGAATAGCATGAGTAAAGGGCACAAGAAATTAAGAACAAACCACTTGGCAACAGGGATAGTACTGTTTTATCATGGATATATCTCAAATTATATCATGGATAGTATCATGGATTATACCATGGATATAATGTTCATCTATTGTATATATTGCTGAAACTAAACAGCAGCATCACTGTAAGTCTTTGTCATTATGTATGATATAGATGATATATACCCTCATGTGTCCTTTGTGTTTGTTTGTTTGTTTAACATATTTAACATCTAAATGTCATTGTGTGAACATTTCATGACAATTGGACCAGTAGACATGGTCTGAAATAACTTGCAATCATGCAATAAAACCTTGTTAACTCAGCACACATTAAAGCTTTTGCTCTTCTTCTATATACTTCTTAAACTATTTTAACTCAGATTCATCTTCAGTATAATTAACTAATTAGATGCTCTTTTTTGCCGTGAAATAATGAGGTAATATGTACCTCCTTAAGCCATTTGCACAGCTCTAGCACTCTTCCAATAAGACGTCTGGCTTTACTAATAAGAGAATATATCTGTCTCCCTGAGCTCACACCCTGATCAATACCCTATTGAACCAAACACACAGAGAATGGATTTGCTACACCACTTTTCTTTATGGCTGTGCATCCAAGCATTACATCGCTCTCTCTCTCTCTCTCTCTCTCTCTCTCTCTCTCTCTCTCTCTCTCTCTCTCCATCTCTATCTCTCTC